GATATATCGGCAAATTATCAGCTCTCAGTGTCGGAGACTTTTAGTGGATATAATTCCCGGAAGGTATTATAAGCTCTAATCAATGAAACAAGAAATTTTCAATGAAACAAGAAATTTAATTTTAGCACATTTTACAGAATAAAAGATGTAAAACAATTCATAAAATATAATGCCCATTTGGTGTATTACATGACTTTTTGTCCTTGACTGCTAGTTTGGGTTTAGAAGGACAGGTAACTAACGGGGCAAGGAATGCGCGTGCCAAAAGCTTTTGCACACACCGAAACGCTAGTTCAGTTAGGTTTTTAGAGACAAGGCTCATATAAGGACTAGAAGAAATTTTTTAGTAGACATTAGGGGTTCTGTTTATGATAGTTGTTACTATAGGTTGCAGTCTTGTTGTGACAAAAAGTCTACACTAAAACATACTTTAGTTTATATTGTGTAGTTCAAGGATATAAAATGCAGCTTCATGGTGGATATTGGAGAGCTGGCGAAAGATTGTGGCCTTTGTGTCAATGGTTATAATAAGCTCATAAATCAGCTCACTTCATAATAATGATATTGAAACACATCAGTACACTACGCGTGCTATAACGCCACGCACAAATTGGGCTTATTACCTAATACTATACATTACATAGTATACATTAAAATCGCGCCGCGCATTGACCACAGGCTAGCTATACACCACATCTCCGCAAGCAATCCTCGCGCGCGTGCACGGTAAGTTGTCATGGTAACTAACGAACGAAAGAAAGGAATGACACCATATTCAGACCCGCCTCCGCTATCTCCAAAATCCACGTTTTTTTGTAACCTTTCACTATTGCCTTTTTACAAAAGGGGAAATGGAAAAAATCTGTGATTTGACTTAGAACAAAACTGTTCAGAATGTGCTAAATCAACAATTAATCTTCTAAAGCAGGTGAAAATATTCAAACAATATACACATAATATAGCAATGACCCTATATAAAAATAATTATAACTATAAAAATTCTGTAAAAATGGTACAAATTTAAAAACTGAGGTAAAAATAAAACCCTTTGTAATAATATATGTAAAATCCACTAAATCACATCACAACAATAAGTAGTTTAGACCCCCCATCCAACAAGCACTCCATGACCTTTTAGGGTTTAAAAGTGTTGATCAGGTTAAGGTCCAAATCACTTATTGCCGTGGGTGGAAGGGTTCTGGTACCTCTGTACCCCCTGATAGAGATTATACAGGTTCTGAGTAGATCAAAACGCAGTCTGCGTCTGTCTGCAGGTGAAATGCGAAGCAGGTGAAATGTGTTTTATTGTTAATATTTCCTGCTATAAGTTAACAAGAATACACATGTGGTTGTGAAAGGATGTTACTGATTGCAAAAAAATCGGATGATATCATTGAGAATTGTAATGATAATAATCTAATAATATAGTGGACTTTCAGGATTTAAAGAAAAGCTAGGTGATTATATTGAATGATCAAAATGGTTCATTCAGCATAGAGCAATTTTACATCGCCGACAGTGTATAGCTGTAGAGGATCTACGAAAACCGATTTGGTTGATCAACCAATCACGATAATGAAAATGATCATGTCTCTGATGTTGGGGATTGATCCAGTTTCGCGTTTAGCCAATGTGAGAGACATGATCATTTACCAAAGGCCGGCCAAATTTTGCTTTCCTTATGGTGAAGATAAAAAGTATGACAAACAAAAACGACTTGTGAGAGACAAATAATACAGTAAAAACGATAGGAATTAGTATGATTGAGGACACCACATACTTAAACAATAAAAACATAAATGAAAACATAGTTAATAATCAAATTGCACATCGAAACAATAATCAAACAGAGGCAGACAAAATTTAAAATACAACAATACCACATTACAAAATTATATCGTACTCGTATTGAATATCACAGTAATTGCTTCAGCGCTCGATTTTCATACTTCGATCAAAATTACAATCGAAGAAAATGTGCGCGGCGCTCCTGAAATTTTTTAATAGTTTTGTGCCAAAAATTATCTCTCGCATGTGCAATTAATACATCCATAATCAATCATGAAGTATTTATACCCACAAATATAATTATTGTTTCGCATGTAAATCGTACACAAAGTCTTGATACACGTTGTAAGCGGAGAGAAAGCCTGTTGTAATGTTTTTATACAATGTGTATTAAACGGAGTCAAAAACGTGAGTACAATGACAGAGTCCTCAATGTTGAAAAGGCTACCTTCACGCCACTGGTGTTCAGTTTGTAGCGCGATGCACTACTGGGTCGCGCCGCGCATCAAATAATTCTTCTCGCAACCACAATAGATCGGCGAAATGCACCAGTTAGGTAGGCTTGGGATTTTTGCACATCTGCCAATATTTTCGCAGCAAATTGGAAATAAAAGATATACCTTTTGCCGTCATGACAATAATCTGCGTTTTGAAATTGAATACCATTAACCTATTTTAATTAACAATTAAAAATTGTGTGTTTTCCTCCCAAATTAGCGTGACGTCACGTTATTGGAGCGTATATTGGAGCAGCCATCTGTAAGCCATTCAAGTTAAATGTCTCAATATAACCCAATTATTCTGCAGAATCGTGCTCGTATATTACTAGACCTTGAGGGCCTCGAGGTATGTAACATACGAACGTAGTTGAGTTAATTAGTTGTGTAACTATATATATTATGATATAAGAATAGTACACTGTTGAAGTGATGAGTGCAGTACACATCTAGCAATCTGCATTAATTCTTGTTGGAATTACGTGAACGATCAAATGCCAGAGAAACAAAAGTTTACAACCACAAAAATTGTACAACTATGATAAGATGTTGGTAATGATGAATGAGGAGAAGGAGAAAGAGATCTAAAATTGTTGTTTTTCTCTAGCCGACACATGAACACAAAGTTAAAATTATCAGCGGCTTGCTAGTTATGAAATATAAATAAATCGTACGCGTAATCAGTTTCGATCTCGGCCTCGCAACCGATGCACGAAACAGGCAGCGTCAAAAACGTATTCGTAAACGGATGGAAGGCGACCATGTTATCAGTTCTGTAAATATAAATAAATAATGCTGACGTAATCTATTGAGGTATCATGATCCATCGATACGTGATTGACGATTAAACTATTTGAGGACAGGATCGTGCTAGCCGTACAGTGTACACTAACAAGCTGTAACAAGCTGTTGATCACATCACAACTGTCGATCACATCACAGCCTGCAATACATATTGCTTATATAGGAGAGCGGTATGGAGATCAGTTATCGCAATCCACAATGGCAACCAATCTTCAGCTTATCCCTGGACGCAAACAAGGCTCAAAGAACCCTGTCCTGAATGGTTTCCGATACGTCCGATAAAGTAACATGTCACAGTAACACGTCAAAGTATACGTTGATATATATTACTATATTAATACTTTTCAAACAAAGTAACAACGAATTCTTCATGTGGTGCATCCTGGGCTTGAACAGCTGATATGCCCGTTTATAATATTTCCGTCACGTTACATTACATAATTCCCAATAAATGTAATTGGTAATAGATTTGTAGTGTTGTAATTAGTTTAAAACTAATTTATGATACATATATGTTGTGGATTCCGATATATATCTTAGCTTATCGGACATTTTTGTCAGGGAGATAATTATTCATGCTCATGATTCAGTCATACATCCTAATCCCGATGGTATTGTCACGGCTGTCGTGGCACTCTCGCGGCCCTCTCGTTGCACTGTCGTCAGCGCATAGGCGTTTCGATAACATTCCCGCAGGTATCACATGGCAGTAACAAGTTTCACGTGTAATGTTCAGTTGTTTTGCTATGATGTACTATTGTAGCTATCAATTTGACGTGAGGACTGAGGTTTGTCATGTGAACGCTATACGTCGTACCTTGCAATCATGTCACAGAATATAGCATTTAAGACGATCTCCATGGGGAAATTCAGAGCAATTATCATTACAAATCGTTTGAAAACTATTGGCCAAGTTCAATTAACCGCAAGATACGAGAACCTGAACAGTATACTAATTGCTGTTGTAACTTGTTGTTATCATATTAAACAAAACTTTCGCCGAGCCGCTACTCAATTGTGAGCATTAGAGCAGTTTTTAGAATGTTTCAAATTTTCTTGAGCAGTTTTAACACTTTCATCTCTGACCAATTGAGTTTCAGGGCAATCATAGCCCAAATCGTTTTGGGAAGCTGGACCATGAACCGAGCGTTTAATCGACCGCAAGATACGAGGACAGCATATATTTGCTGTGGTAACTTGTTCTCATTTTATCAATCAAAACTTTACCGCTACTCAATCTTGGGCAGTCTTGCAAAGTTTTAACAACGTTACCTCCAACTTCATAAGTTAATCGTAGACCAAATTATCTAGAGATCGTTATAACAACGCGTTCAAATGACCGCAAGTTACGAAAACATGAAACCACGGGATTTTCTAAGCAGCTTCATTTGTAAAAATGAAGCTCGATCAGTTTGTCGAACCCTTTGATATTCTTTCCGTTGAAGGACGACCTCTTTTAATAAAGGATGCATTCAGTAGTTTAGCTTATCACATGAAAAAGGCATCTGCCGAAGGAATACAATGGAAAGTCACTGATATTTATCGAGCTGTTGCTGTAGATATTTTGACATTTGCTGGTGTTGTTCTTTCAGACCTTCAGCCCGCCGAATTAAAACGACGCACAGTCTACATCGTCGAGTAAGTATTTTATTTATTGTTTGTAAACTGATTTCGCTTATAGTAATTTAATGAGATACGAGTCTGATACATGACAACATCAATAAATTTGATCTTCAAATTTAAACTTTTCAGTCGGTTAGAGCGTATCGATGGGAAACGACGAAAATTGAACCCAAAGTCCAAACAGAAGAATAAGGATGACTTTAACAAGACCCTTCTCGAAGAGTTTCAGATCTTCCCAAAGGGACAAAGATCAGTATTGGAACGGCAGCCAGTATTTGATTTTCCCGTACGAGCATCAGCCAGTATTCGAATTGTTGAGGACGATGAGCAAGCATCAGGCTCACAGAACACAACGCCATCTCTTCTGACAACAGACACTTCCCAACCAGTACGAACTTATAAAATTTTAATAAGAATTAGTATGAGAACTATGTCTAATTCTATAATTGCTGAGTACAACAAGGCATACTGAGACAAAGCTATTTATAGTCAATGAAAATATGTAGGAAGTTAAGTGTTTAGACCATTTTTAAATTTAAAGAACGATATCTAGTAAATTTAAATTGGACTAACTCTAAGTACTTATCGGAATGATAGAGATGAAATTCATTCAGGGCTTGGGCAATAAAAGTAAGATTCTAACAAAGGACAGATTGTTACTAATACGCTTGTTATTTCAGCCATTTTTTGACGAGAGAACGATGAGTAGCTGTCACTCGATACCTGATAACAAAGCTGCAGACCCCGACTATTGTCCAGTTAATTCAAAAGTTGGCGAGAAGAAACCCACAGTCAATGTGTCGAATTTTCTGAAATTGCCACTAGAGCAGATGGGAGCTGAGCTGGCACGATCTGCAGCGGGGTCTGAAGACAATGCCAGAATAATGACTGCAGTTTCTAATATTTTGTATAACACAGTTGGTATTGAAGGACCCAGACCTGTAGTTACAAGGAGCATGGTAGAATCTGCTATACGGAAAGATGGTATTGAGCGAGTTTTAGCTCTTTCGAAGTTGAATATGAGAGGTAGATATGATAAATCATATATTATATTAGCTCTAGTTGAAAAACTAGTTAAATATTTGGCTTGAATAAGTATAGTGCATTAAATTTGTCATAAAATCGTTGGCACTTGATGTCGAAGCTTCTTTCGGATTGCAGCGAATTGTGGCGAATATAACATTAGCTATTTTTCTAACCAAATTTAATACTTCTATTAAGGACTCTTTTTTGACGGAAAGAAAAGTAAGATTTGTAAAGATAAAGATCGCAAGGTGATTAACACTACTGTGGATTTCTACACGATAGTCCTGCAACCGGAGAAGAAGTTTGTCGGTTTCTGCTCAACCAGTGGAACAGGTATTAATTAAAACACGCATTTGTTGTATTCTAAGTTACATATCACTTTTACTTCAAGTTGACGAAGCTAAACTTACTCCTGCTGTTACTTGAGAGCTGTGCGTGGTTTTTGTAAGCACAGCTATGACTCACCCGCCAATATGACAAATTAATTTTGATTTTTGATAGGTAGAGATGTTGCTGCTCAAGTGTTAAAGTTTCTAGAGGATCACAAGATCCAATCCGAAGCGCTGATTTGTGTTGGAGGAGATGCCACCGCTTCAAACTCTGGTCCATTTGTAAGTAAAAATCACGTTTTTTTAAATTTTCACTGTGTGAAACATGAATATAGTTAAGTTTATGTGGCTAAAGTACATTTGGTAAGTGGTCACATTGGTAGTCATGGTTGGTCTATAAATCTTATGTTAATTTTTTTAAATTGCTGCTATTCCAGAATGGGGCCTTTCATTATCTTGAGGAGTTTCTGGGAAGAGCCTTACAACGTAGTATATGTCTACTCCATCACGTTGAATTGGTACTCCGAGCTATTTTCTTCTATTACGACGGAAAGGCAAAAGGTTTGTTTGATGTTTTAGCAGTATATATATAATATTGTCGGTCATACATCTGGATACCAATGGCACTGTCGTGGCACACGAAAGTGCAACTTAGCTAAAACTATGGGCGCTGAAATTGTTAAGCTGATATTTCACTATTCTCTCATCCTCAGGTTGTGGGGCGTACGGTGGTGTCATTGGACAGCTTATTCAAACCGATGTTTGGAAATTAAAAATAAAGAAATTTAAAAAGATTGAAATGAACTTCCAAGTGCTAGATGAAGAGGTATGTTAATGGTATAGGTTTAAACCTAAATGATATTTTCTGATGTGATGGACACGATGACGAAAGAACGAACTGTGACAGTGTGACTTTTCAACTGTGAGATTTAACGTGCAGCAAAGGGTATTTTGTTTATGTAATAAAGAGACTTGTTTGTTGAATAATAATAAAGCTCAGTCGTTCTGAAACTTACTGAATCCTTTATTTAGGTAGTGAAAAAGATGTCTACCGATAGGCGACTGCTTTACAAACTGATACTTGGAATTTCGAAAGGAGACATCAGTGGTGTGAAAGACTCAACGATAGGGCCCGTTAACCAGGCTCGCTGGTTAACGCTCGCATCACGCATTTTAAGACTTTATTGCTCACCACCGGATAATTTGGGAACCTATGTAGAGATTATCCTTGAGAGATTATCTATCTTTATAATAAAAGTTTATTTCAAGGTATCTATAATATCAGATATTTTAACAATCATTGACAAATGACGATGTAATGGTGATTTGGACTTATCAATTTACCGCAATGTAAATTAACATTTAAGGTGATTGTCACTACTATATTGATATTCTATACTATTCGAGTAATATATCAAAATTGGGATAATTTCAGATGTACTCCGCTGTAAAGTACAAGAACACCATCATTGATGGTGCAAAGCACTTGTTCGACGAGATACAGCTTGTCAAAACGTTTTGCACGGTAGATGAGCGGAAGGTGGCAAATAAGTGTATTCAAAATAATGCTTGGTTTGCTCACCCTGAGAATATAATGATAGCCATGTGTGGTGAGTGAAGTATTTATAACTTTATTAATGAGTAACGCTTGAAATAGGCACAGGTAATGATACAAATATCAATTATCAAATGCAAGAATTGTAAACTTAACTGTCACTTAATTGTATGTAGCTAACTTTGGCTTAGGGTAACCTATACTTAGTTGTTTTACATTTTGGTGACAGTAAGGTATCGTTCACAAATGTTGTGACCAAATTTGAGAATTTTATTTTCAGGAGACCAAGACAGAGAAATTCGCCAAAAGGGACGAAATATTCTACGTCGTTTGTTAAACATCAAAGAATGGCGAAAAGAGGAGGAAAGACGCCGGAAGGAGCTTTACGAGCTACCTAAAAAAATAAAGATTCGTGAATTCCACCTCCCACTAATCGATTTCGATGCTAAGGATTACTGCACGATGGCCAGAATCAAGTTTGAGAAGTTAAGTGGACCTTACAACCCTCCAGAGAGAGGATCGTTCGCTGTCTACACCCTCAATTACCAAGGCCCAACTAAGTCCCAGGAGATAACAATTCCTCCCGTGTTAGCCCACATGAGGGCTGAAGAAATGGACCAGATTGTAGAATGTAGAGTGACTGCGGAATTTGAATGTCATTCCCAGAGTTGCGAGAGGGGTGTAGCAACAACACATCAGAGTGTGAAGAGACGGCGGACTGATGAGTCTCAATTAAGAATGGCACTGTCTACTGTGGGAGCGCGAGAGGAGATGTCGGCAAAAGTGACAGTGAAGCGATTTAAAGACGACTTTTCCAAATTTCTTTGAGTCATGGCTATTTTCATTTTACTAATGTCTCATTTCAATATTTCATATTTATAATCAGCTTCTTTCCTTGCTTTATCAATAACATAAACAGAAGTAATAGTACTACTATAGCATATTATAGTAGCTGCGCTTTAAAAATATATTATGAAAACATGCCAACTGCAGTTAGTACACATTTTATTGTACTATAAGTATCTTACCTGGGGACCCCAGGCTATTATGTTCATAACCGTAAAAGATTCGGCGGAATGACAGGCTGAGCGCCGCCCAGTAAATGTAATAAATTTTATGTAAAAAAGGAAAATGAAACGTCTCTGAGTGTGATGTTTGGAGTCTGAATATAATCAATAATGGTATTGATAAAAAACGAACCTAAATCCATGAATTTTCGGTCACTAATTCCATTAATCACCCGATCACATAATAGGGGATTTGAGCAATTTTGTTTTGATACGCAAAATCGACTGTTTTTGGCCTATACCCGGCCTAATAGGAGTTTAGGATTAAATTACCTTCGCATTGGGAGTGACGCGGTGCAACCGTTATTGTGCCTTTAAATTAATCCTAACCTAAAACTCTAATTATGTAAGTATAAGTGCTTATCAGCTAGCATTAATGTGATGTATTTTTAGAAAGGAAAATGCTAAAGGAAATTGTTAATTTTTTATCATGAGCTAGCGTCAGCTAGCGTCAGTACTATTACTAATAGTAATATAATACTAATTTGTTTGTGAAACTGGGTGGGCGACAATTGACCCCCGACAATTGACCCCCTACAATTACCTGGGGACCTCAGGCTATTATGTTCATAAACAGAATAGAGATTCGGCGGAATGACAGGCTGAGCGCGGCCCAGTAACCCTACAATTGACCCCGCCTGACAATTGACCCACGACAATTGACCCCCGACAATTGACCCACGACAATTGACCCCCGACAATTGACCCCCGACAATTGACCCCCGACAATTGACCCCTGACAATTGACCCACGACAATTGACCCCCCCCCCGACAATTGACCCCCCGACAACTGACCTTCCGACAATTGACCCCCCGACAATAATAAATTTAATACAATTAACCCTAACCCTATTTTTAACCCTAACCGGAACCCTAACTTTAACCCTAACCCTAACTCTAACCGTACCCCGACCCCGACCCCGACCCCGACCCCGACCCCGACCCCGACCCCGACCCCGACCCCGACCCCGACCCCGACCCCGACCCCGACCCCGACCCCGACCCCGACCCCGACCCCGACCCCGACCCCGACCCCGACCCCGACCCCGACCCCGACCCTGACCCTGACCTGATCAATTGAACCGGCCGGTGTAATTCAAATTGTACATGGGGGTCAATTGTCCGGGGTAAATTTTCGGGGGGTCAAATGTCGAACTAAGCCCTAGATTTCGCGACAATTGACCCCAGTGCAATTACATAGGGGGTCAATTGTCGGAGAGTCAATTGTCGTGGGGTCAATTGTTGGGGGGTCAATTGTCGTATGTAACCCTAAATTTCGCGACAGTTGACCCCAGTGTAATCACATAGGGGGTCAATTATTGTCGGGGGGGGGGGGGGGGGGGTCAATTGTCGCGGGGTCAATTGTCGCGGTACCGAGACACTAATGACAATGTATATTGTATATGAATCGATTTTTAATATCACTCTACATTGAAGAACTAATTTATCGTCAACACTAACAGCTGTATTTGTTGATATGACGGCCAATACATCAATGACCGCGGTTTTTTATATCGCGGCAGCGGTCTGGGTCAACATTCCGTGGATGCGCCGGCAGATTGCGCCGGTGCACGTCTCTCAGTCTCACTCTCAGTAACACTTATAGTTATACTTATAGCTATACAGAACTGATATAACATGGTCGCCTTTCATCCGTTTACGAATACGTTTCTGATACCGCGTGTTTCGTGCATCGGCCGTGAGGCCGGGATTGAAACTGATTACCAATTACGCGTACGATTTATTTATATTTCATAACTAGCAAGCCGTTGATAATTTTAACTTTGTGTTCATGTGTCGGCTAAAGAATAACAACAATTTTATATGATTCTCCTTCTCCATCTCCTTCTCCTTCTCCTCATTCATCATTACCAACATCTTATCATAGTTGTACAATTTTTGTGGTTGTAAACTTTTGTTTCTCTGGCATTTACGTTCACGTAATTCCAACAAGAATTAATGCAGATTGCTAGATCAAGATGTGTACACTCAACACTTCAACAGTGTACTATTCTTATATCATATAGTTACACAACTAATTAACTCAACTACGTTCGTATGTTACATACCTCGAGGCCCTCAAGGTCTAGTAATATACGAGCACGATTCTGCAGAATAATTGGGTTATATTGAGACATTTAACTTGAATGGCTTACAGATGGCTGCTCCAATATACGCTCCAATAACGTGACGTCACGCTAATTTGGGAGGAAAACACACAATTTTTAATTGTTAATTAAAATAGGTTAATGGTATTCAATTTCAAAACGCAGATTATTGTCATGACGGCAAAAGGTATATCTTTTATTTCCAATTTGCTGCGAAAATATTGGCAGATGTGCAAAAATCCCAAGCCTACCTAGCACCAGTGTGCCTCACCGAGCTGCGAAGGATTGACATCGTGAATCAAGTGTTCAGTACTACAGGAGGAATGGCAACTGAGGCTTCGCAGTTTCTAAAACATCTTGCAGAAAAGATCAGCCTAAAGAAAGGCCAACGGTATTGTGATGTGATGTCATTTGTCAGACGCAGACTGCGTTTTGATCTAGAACCTGTATATTCTCTATCAGGGGGTACAGAGGTTCCAGAACCCTTCCACCCACGGCAATAAGTGATTTGGACCTTAACCTGATCAACACTCTTAAACCCTAAAAGGTCATGAAGTGCTTGTTGGATGGGGGTCTAAACTGCTTTTAATTTTTGTTGTGATGTGATTTAGTGGATTTTATATATTTTATTACAAAGGGCTTTATTTTTACCTCAGTTTTTAAATTTGTACCATTTTTACAGAATTTTCATATAGGGTCATTGCTATATTATGTGTATATTGTTTGAATATTCTTTACTAAAAAAATTAAACGGAGTCATAAGTCTGATATTTAAAATTTTGAGTGCATCCAAAGTACGAATTCCGCGTTTGATAAATCGAGCGCTCAAAAAAGGACTCTTTATACAATAATTGTCTGGCCGATGGCCTGGTTCAGTGTTGTTGTTGTTTGGCTGTTGCTACTTGAGTAACGTTTTATCGTTAATTAATAATTAAAGCGAATAACAAAAACATTATTGCTATGCATGTGATATGAATTTTGTGTTTCCCTTTGTCTAATTCTGTAATCGGTCATACATGATAAGAGTTAGCTGATGTTCATTGCGAAATCGAGTCAGTAATGATGGCATTAAACTGCAGTTTCCTCGAAATAATTCAATGAAGAATATTAAGATTGATAGTGCTCATGAAGACATAAAAACAACGTATCATGAGTCGACCCGCTAATTGTCCAACATGGTTAAATCATTCGTACATTCCTCTCGTGATAGAGGCAAAACTCCTCTTGGGTTTGTCACATCAAGAAAGCTCGATAGAGACAGTTTTAACTACAGTGTTAGAGAATTTGTCAGAAATGTGATATGAATCGGAACCAAGCAACTGTTATGAGAAACAACAGAACAACATAAACAGAGGAGGATTTCCTTAAAGCACTATACACTGGTTGACCAACAAATCTTGAACCAGGGATTAACCCATTAGGGACGACGAGTTTTAAAGTTTGTCGATTTTGGTGCCATTCAGCACACTAGGTCACTCCACAGTTCATAGCAAAAATGAGATATCCGTAAAAGCTAATCTGTATCTCGTTTACTTTTAAAGATACAGCTATGGTCCCATATGACCTACTCGTCCGGGTCGCCAGATACCCATCACGTTTTTTCAGCTATTACCTCTGAATTAATTATAAGAACTACTTTAACAAAAGAGTTACCAACAGTATGTTCTTAAACCCCTGTGATTCTGAGGAAATCGAAAAAATTGTTAAAACCTTCCAGGGTGACAAGGCTAGTGACATATCAATAGCTGTTCTTAAGAAATGTTGCACTTCAATCTCTAGGCACCTAGCTGGTTTCCTAAACTCATTCATGAAGGAGGGTCTATTTCCAAAAATTCTCAAAATAGGTAAGGTCACCCCCGTATTTAAGAAAGGAGACCCACAGCTGTTTGATAACTACAGGCCTATATCCATTCTACCTATCTTTGGTAAGATATTTGAAAAAGTAATTTACTGCCGACTATATAGCTTCTTTACTTCACATATGGTCATATACGATAAACAGTTTGGATTCAGATCCAACCACTCAACGGCACATGCCGTCAATTACTCCATTGACCACATTCTTAAAAACCTAGAAAGTAAGAATCATGTAATTGGCATATTCATTGACTTAAGCAAAGCGTTTGACACAATCGACCACAGAAAATTACTTGTCAAACTTGAACACTATGGCATAAGAGGGCCCTGTCTTGACCTAATTGAAAGCTATTTGTGTAACCGACAGCAGTATGTTGATTTCCAAAATACACACTCTGATCACTGCAAAATTGAATATGGGGTACCACAGTGATCAGTTCTAGGCCCTCTCCTCTTCTTACTCTACATCAATGACATTACCAACTCTAGTAAACTTGGACACTTCATACTGTTTGCAGATGACACGAACATATTTGTTGCTGGAAAAACTGAACAAGAAGCCTATTTGAATGCTAATAAAGTACTTGAATCTGTAAATGACTATATGGAATCTAACTTGCTGCACATTAACCAAAGCAAATCGGTCTACATGTTATTCAGACCTGGCCGGTACTCGTCCTGTGCACGTGCTCGTGAATATGGCTCTGAGAACTCACTCACGTTATCAGGCAACACGCTTACACGAGTAGATAAAGTGAGATTCCTTGGTGTTATCATAGACCATGAACTATCCTGGGAACCCCAACTAGATAACATAAAAAGTAAACTAACTACAAGTATAGCTATAATTAAACGTATTATGAAGTTTATTCCAGAAACAGAGTACCATAACCTGTATGACTCCTTATTCAAGTCTCATATGAGCTACTGTATCAGTAGCTGGGGTGGTGTCACACCTTATAGACTATCTAAACTGTTCTCCATCCAAAAAAGATGTGTACGCCTTCTATTTGGAAGCAAACCAAGCTTTGACCGGGCAGAATATTATGAAACATGTGCACGTGCAAGACCATACAGTGAACACATCGCAAAAAGGAGCTTTGCTTTGGAAAACACTAAGCCAATATTCAATACCGAGAAAATCATGTCAATCCACAACCTGTACACCCAACATATATCCACTGAACTGTTTAAAATCTTGAAACTGCATCAACCTATCTCTCTGACAAGTTTATTCCAAACAAGTTCCAGAGCATGTAGCCAAACTATGCGGGTCCCCCGACACAAACTTGAAATTTCTAAACACAATTTTGTCTTCAAAGGTACGACTATATGGAACAGTTTGGTTGATAAAATATTCGACAAATGCACTCCTAATGAAAACAATGTCATGGTCCCTGGCTCTAGTAAATTTTCCGACCTTTCCTCCCCCATCTCAATTATCAAGAGCCGTATCAAAAAGCTCTTACTTGAAACCCAGCAATTGACAACACCTGGGCGTGAAATTGAGTGGCTCCCCCTAAATAGCTGGGGCATTGAACCAGCTTAGTCAATCAGCATCCCATCCCTTGCATACAACTAATTACAAAAGCGCTAATTATACCTGTTTCAAAAGCATCCTGTCTGGAAGTTCCCTGACTGCCGTGTGAATCTTTGGATCTATTTTTGGATCTATTTTTATATTGATATGATTTTTATATACCTATATATTCCTCGCATAATTTCCATGTCCGCCTGAACAAACCTGGCACCATCAAATCTTACCTCTAGAAACCCCAGAACTCATCAAGCCTAGTCTGAATTCAAAACTAGTTGACCAGCTACGTACAGTTTCCTGGACAACTGGAACCTTTTGGGCCATGCACAAGCCAATAGCATGTATGGTCCTGCAGTGGGGTCTCCTTGTCCTTGGATCTGTGTTTTAATCCGTCTTTTCTTAAAATTTTCCATTTGTGTCACTTAGAATCACCTTTTAAATGTTAATCGACACCACTGGTCCTAGTTAAATTTAGCCATAGCACGACTACTCGAACTTAACAGTTAAATAGGCGTGACATACTATTATATTCTTATAATTATATCATATGAATTGATTGCACTGCTAATAAATAAAATACTTTGTTTTACTAAAAAAATACTTTGTTTTACTAACAGAACAACATAAACAGAGGAGGATTTCCTTAAAGCACTATACACTGGTTGACCAACAAATCTTGAACCAGGGATTAACCCATTAGTGACGACGAGTTTTAAAGTTTGTCGATTTTGGTGCCATTCAGCACACTAGGTCACTCCACAGTTCATAGCAAAAATGAGATATCCATAAAAGCTAATCTGTATCTCGTTTACTTTTAAAGATACAGCTATGGTCCCATATGACCTACTCGTCCGGGTCGCCAGATACCCATCACGTTTTTTCAGCTATTACCTCTGAAACGAAGACATTAGGATTTACATGGATTGTTTCTTTGTTATTGAAAACGAAACTTCAGACTCTAACAAGCTTACAGGCTTCCACGTCTCGTGTACCCTAGGATTTGGTTTTTGGATCGGATACTCAAAACAACGACAGAGGAGCGATCTACAGTGACGTTACAGGAACATTGCATACTCCTACGAGTTGCACGTAGCAGGCCATGACCTCCCCTGGAAGTCCCTGTCTCTCCGTCGTTAACCCGGCGGGGATGCACCAGGGGCGGTGGTAACAGAACTTCAAGACTCTCAGAGTCTGTTGTCGATATCTATGTTTAATATATTTATGGTATATAATTTGGGAGTCTCTCTCTCCGGCAGCAGGAGTTGGAGAATGGGGACGAGTTGTGAAAGCCACCGTAAGAAAGACTTACTGTCGACGCCGACCAATCAAAAGAAAGAAAACAAAACTTAAGACATGTCTGTTTTAAAAATCTTTTCAGTAAAATTTGTTCACATGGTTGCCTAGTGGTTGGAGCAACTGCCTTGTATGCAGAAGGTCCACGGTTCCAATCCCAGTTTCACCTAGCCTAGGGAGTATCTAGTAATGATCCATCATATCTGTGTGGAATTACACATCTTTGTAATCCTGTGTAGACTCTGCTGTGTGATAGGAAACGTTGTTGAGCGTTCAATGAGTTACTTTAGATGGCTTGAACTAAATATTAGATTTGGAGTTCTTTTTCAGCTTTCTAAAGCAATGAATATATGTTAAAAGTAGTTATTATTTTATTGTATTGAAAACTAATAGTTATAAATTACTTAATTACCTTAGGATGAACAGTTTAACGTAAAGTCAACCCAGCAGCACATGAAGACTCTTTTTCTAAGTTTCTTACTACTTATACACTTCGACTTATCAGACTCATTTTTTCTTAAAAGACGGAGGCGAGCACCGCAGGTAATACAACTTGTCAAATTAATTTTAGAAATTCATCAATATAAAGTGTTTAGTCATGTGTTACTTTAAATACCAGATTCATATAGATACCTTTGTTTGTGCAGATAAGTTTGATTGGAAATTAGATGATTTGAGCCACCCATTAAATCACTGTTTCTTAGACTAAATAACCATGTTTTCTCAGCCTGTGCCTAAAGACTGTGTTTTAAGTGAGTGGGCTACTGTTATAGAATGTTCTGCAGACTGTGGTCCATCTGGCATTGAAACTCAGCAGAGGTAATTTATTTACACTAATAGTTAGGGTCTTATGCACAATGTCTGTGAAACAATTTGCGACAAGCATTTAATTGTTAACACTTGTTTTCAAGATAACCTGCTGTATACTTTTTGTTACTTATTAGACAGCTTATAAGTTATAAATTGATTGAATATTTTCATTTCATCTCTGTTTTAAAAGTCACTCTGACTTCTTCTTCTCAGGCGGATTATTGTAGAAGGAAGAAATGGAGGGACATCATGCTCAACGTACGAGTTAGAAAGAACTGTAAGTTCAATTTCTGTCATCTCTCTTATCGTGATACATTTTTCTCCAAAAATCACATCTGATAAGATTCATGTTTCAGTAACCAGAGCCATGCAATGAACCATACAATTACAATTGGTCAATTATTGTATGCACTGACATTTGTCAATTAAAAATAAATTCAAGCCTATCATTGTGTAACATAAAACAGTGAAATATCATAACAATGTTGTTACAGGTGTCATGTAACAGAGTTTGTTACAATGAGGGTGAGTTGAACACAGTATTGAACAAATGTGATTGTGCTACGGGCTACGCTGGAGAGTGCTGTAACCAAGGTATCTCTTACTTATCTTTTATGTTTTCCTTTAAGGCTCTTGAAGATGGCAATATTTGTAACACTTTGAACTTTATAATACAGTTTGTACCAGAATTCCAGAATTGACAGAACGTAGTATGAGATGTTCTCTGAGCAGAGAATATTTCATACTACGTTCATTTTGGGAAAATTTGGGAAAATTTTGGGCAAATTTGATATTGAAAATGCACATTTTTACATTCTAAAATTGAACATTAGTCATATGATAATTACACGTGTTTAAAAATCTCAGATGTGGATGAGTGCAGCAGTGATCCCCCTCCCTGCTCTCACATATGTAATAATGAACCCGGGTCATTCTCATGTGAATGTGAGGAAAACTACACTTTGGATACTGATAACACCAGCTGTCTTGGTGAGATCTTAATTAATTAGAGCTTAATTAATTTGATCTTAATTAATTTGATCTTAATTTTGTAAGATTACTAACCGTTTTGGGTGAAATATTTTACTAACTCTTGAAAAAAAGGGTGTCATGTTATAAAAATTATATTTTACATGTTAAGAGATAACGCATTTTAATATTAAGATGCATAACATTCGAATAAAATATTAACCTGCTACAATGTATTAATCCCTGTTAACCCCACTCTCAGATGCTAAGGAATGTCAGCGCACACCGGCTCCCTGTGCGCATCGCTGTAGAGAATTAGACGGGGGTTACACTTGTTACTGTGAGGATGGGTACGAACTTGATGACGACCAGAAAAATTGCAACGGTAAGTTTATTTCAGCATTATTGTTTGCTCTTCACTTTTTAACAGGAAAAGAATGCATGAAGACGAATGATTTTCGCTCCTGTGCAACTGAATTGACTCCTCTTGATAACTGACTACTGACTACTGACTACTGACTACTGACTACTGACTACTGACTACTGACTACTGACTACTGACTACTGACTACTGACTACTGACTACTGACTACTGACTACTGACTACTGACTACTGACTACTGACTACTGACTACTGACTACTGACTACTGACTACTGACTACTGACTACTGACTACTGACTACTGACTACTGACTACTGACTACTGACTACTAACTTCCTACTCCTGCAGATATAAACGAGTGTAAGACAGGGAGTATTTGTCAGTACAAATGTAAGAACACTCCTGGTGATTACGAGTGCGAGTGTCAGTTTGGTTACTTCAGAAACTCTGATAACAAAACCTGTACAGGTACAAATCCACATTGTTGTTGGAGCATTGGCAGTTGAGATGAACCTTAGAATGACCTCACTCTATATTATCATGTCACAGTGCATTACATTGTTCATTCTATTTTTGTTATTCCAAAAGTGGAAACTTAACATTTTAACATATTTATTCTAAATTTTCATAATTATTTGACTAGACGTGATTTACCCTAAAATGTGTTCTAGATGTTGACGAATGTGTCCGAAATAACACATGATTTACCCTGAAATGTGTTCTAGATGTTGACGAATGTGTCCGGAATAACGGAGGCTGCAAGCAGACCTGTGAGAATCTTGTTGGTGGGTTCAGATGTAAATGCGGACCGGGTTATGTGCTTGCTGATGATAATATCAGTTGTAATGGTAAGAAATTTGTTGATAATAATTAATACATCTTTAAAAAGTGACAGCTGTAGATTCTCGATGGGATTGTTGGGGAGTCAAATTTGGGCCACTTGTCGGTAAATAGATAATTCAGATAATAAATATTTCAGGTAATAAACTGGGGTTACAAATGTAATGTATTCAACCTTCTTTTTTGCAACATTATAGTGAAGCGAAGTTGGAGGTCGATTTGGTTTGATAATTTCGACTTTTGACTTTTACGTACGAAGTTGCAAGGCTTGATTCAGGGTTGATTCAATTATTTGTTATAAAATTAAATTTCCCCCATGTTATGTGGCGTACAGTATTACATGCTGCATATGCAGGAAATACACACGACGTGTCCTTGGCATTTGTTGCGCTATTGTAATTTGTAACCATATAATAGGATACGCTTGTCCTTTTATCACACTATGTTATAATATTATTATATAACATAGTGTGATAATAGGACAAGCGTGTCATAAACATGTCATAACCATGTCATAACCATGTCATAACCATGTCATAACCATGTCATAACCATGTCATAACCATGTCATAACCATGTCATAACCATGTCATAACCATGTCATAACCATGTCATAACCATGTCATAACCATGTCATAACCATGTCACGGCTCAAAAGTAGTCACTAGGTGGTCACTAACTGGCACTTCAAAAGTGGATTTTCCAGTGGGTTTAAAGTTCAGATAAAGCTCATACTATAATCCCCCGACCTTCACCTGTATAATTACATATTCAAGTATAACCTCAATCAAAATACCATTAACTTTCAGATAGGGACGAATGTTCAACACATGGTGACACACTATGTGAACAACTGTGTATCAACATTCCCGGGAGTTATGAGTGTGGCTGTATTCGTCCTTACACTCTTAACGCCGACCTCAGGACATGCTCATGTAAGTTTAATTAATTAGTTATTATAATCAATAGGTTGATTGTTTAATTAACATGCAGTTGATAGTTAAAATAGTGGAACTAAATTTGATAACCATGTCAATTGTCAATGGACAAATTATCTTTTAAAAATGTGATCGTTGGAAGCTAACACATAAGATTAAGCTGCTTTCTTACGATTTCTGTGTATAATTCTTGATTTTATTGTACCGATAATCTTAATATGTTCTCAAACCTTACTATGTTTATTCTAGAACAATCTTAGAATATTTATTTAAAGCTGCTACTGTGCAAGAGCATTTAAATTTTCAACGTTAAAACAGCTCGTTTCAACGTTAAAACAGCTCATTTCAACGTTAAAACAGCTCATGTATTTTACCGCTGAAAATTTACCGATCATTGTTCAAACACACGTGAAATAAAAACATATAAACGGAATTCCGTCTGCGATCAAACCGGGAGCAATTAAAACACTCACCAGACTTGTGTGTGGGAATGTGTGTAATGTTCTGATGTTGTGTGTAGCATTGCGTGTAAACACTCAATAGGTATTTGTGTAATTAATACTAATCAGTTTCTGTGTGAGCATTTTATTTTCTTATTTTCTTAATCTCTTCTCACGACATTGTGTGTTCTCTAAAGTCGAGTTTATGGCTGAAATTACTAACAATTTAGTGTTGCGACTAAATTACAAGTTAAGTGTGTAGGGTTATTATATTAATTAAAAGTATGTACAGGCGGATGTATGTTCCAATACACGGCCAGATATAGCTCAGAAACGTAAAAAAAGTGTAAAGACGACGATATGTTACACGCTCACAATTACATCAAACTACCTTGAATAACAGTACTTTTTTGAATATTTGCCAAACTTAAATTTGATACAGTTTGTAATAATATAAATAATATGGGGGATTTAATCCTCAGCTTTCATCATATTATATACTTACTGTACTAGTGATGATAAATTATCCAAATGATGTAGTCAGTAACTAACAAACCGTTGAAATACTTTTTATACCATGTTATTGGCTGATTCAGATGTAACGTCTCCAGGAATTCAACACAGAATTTAGCAATATTTTACTTTTTTTTTCAATTCCCAAAGGAGTTAGAAGTTTTGTAGTCAGACATTACTCAGTTTCCCCTTCAAGATCAATCTAAACTTAACAAATTTACCTTATCATGCAAAAGATAAAATCAATGTAACTAGTCGTACACCAATTATAGTGTGATTATATAACTTTGGAACCGTTGCCCATGGTCGATCCATGATCAGTTAAAGATCATTCACATTTATCGCGGAATGTAGGTGGTAAAAATGGCAACGACCCCCCCCCCGCCCCTTTTTATCCATACTGTTCAATTATTGTTCTTCCTCAGAAAAATATGACATGCAAAGTGTTACCTTGTGTACAAAATTTATATTATATACAATATAAAACAGTGTATATCGTACGTAGTTTACAATATAATAGATTGTATAATATTGTTTATATTATATTTATATTTATATACGCCAGAATGTTATGTACAAACCCTTTAGTTCCATGGCCAATTTTTCACTGTATTAATACGCTTAAAAAAAATATACCCGATTTTTTGGCTCTCTCTTTTCGATTCACTGAATTAATACAGCTTAAAAAAATCGTAAACATGTTTACGATTAAATTTTTCTCACTGTATTAATACAGTGGCTGCGGTCGTAATCGATATTATAATTGCATTTTGTTGTCCCGCAAGTTTCTGGGATCAACTATATTCCGTTGTGGAATGCGTTTACTCATAACCTAATTACACTGCACTAATTGCACTGATAAGGGGTGGGGCTCATGTTTTGTGTCCGTTTTTGTCCGTTCGGTACCCTATATTTTCAAAACGGACAAAAATTAGGGCGGACAAAAAAGGACAAAAAATGTTATGGAATTTGGGAATAACATTTAGATGCTTCCTCCTTTCCTCCAGCCTCCTCCTCCCCCTCCTCCTCATCCTCCTCTCCCTGCTGCTCCTCCTGCTGCTCCTCCTGCTCCTCTTCATCCTCAGTCCTCCTCCTCAGTCCTCAATCCTCCTCATCCTCAGTCCTCCTCATCCTCAGTCCTCCTCCTCCTCCTCTTCATTCTCCTGAAGTCTTCCTCCTTCTCCTCAGTCCTCCTCCTCTTCTTCCCTCTCCTCAGTCCTCTTTCCCCTCTGTCCTCATCCTCCTCCTCCTCCTCATCCTCCCTCTCAGTCCTCTTTAGTCCTCCTCTCCTCCTCCTCCCAGTCCTCCTCCTTTTCCTCTTCCTCCTCAGTCCTCTTCATTCCTTCTCCTTCTCAGTCCTCCTCTTCAGTCCTCCTCCTTTCTTCCTCCTCAGTCCATATATGTGCGATACCTTCTCAGTCTTCAGTCCTCAGTCCTCCTTCTCCTCCTCCTCCTCAGTCTTTCTCCTCCTTCTCCACCTCATCACTCATCATTCCTTCTCCTCCTCCTCCTCCTCCTCCTCCTCCTCTTCCTCCTCAGTCCTCCTCCTCCTCCTCAGTCTTCCTCCTCCTCCTCCTCAGTCCTCATCCTTCTCAGTCCTCGTATGTACGATACCTTCTCAGGTAAATAGAATTGCAGGACAACATTCTGCTTCCAGACAGTACATTGGTTGTTACACTAAGTAAAAGTTTGTGTATCCTCATTTTAAAACTCGTGTGGCCGCAGTCCTGATCTTGCTCGACACCACCAATAGTAATACGCATATCGATTACTGCGTGCAAATTAATACGGGCATGGAACAGGTCACCTGTATTAATTTTATTTCACAAATAAAAATTTCATATTTTTTTCACTGTATTAATTGGCCATGGAACTAGAGGGTAAGCACTAAAAACTTTACTAGTCGTACATTACGATGATCTCATTGCGTAATATACTCCTTTGTAATATACTCCTGTGTGAGTTTACCATATTATGTTGCCGTATCGAACACAAAATGTTAAAATGTTAAACTTATGAGTATAGTGCTTCAGATTCAGAATTATTAAACAAAGTGTGATGAAAATTGGAGTTACTCAATACTCACCTTGACCTACACGGTGTATAACAATATTATACATTTATCACATGCCTTCTCATGCGATATCAAAACTTTCGCCCACGAGGCTTGCCGAGTTAGCGAAAGTTTCGATATTTCCCGAGGCTTGCCGAGGGTTATATCGACATTTTCAATCACGAGGCTTGCCGAGTTTTGAAAATGTTGATATCGCATGAGAAGGCATGTGATTAATGTTTTATCACACTTTCTTTGGAGCCAAATTTGGCCGGGAAAGCAGAATTTGATCAAACGTTAGTTATAAATATCACCAAAGCAAAACTAGACATGTCGAACTTATTTATGTTTAATGTTTATAATGTCCAAGCTATATGTATAGCTCTCGATGAGTTAGTATTTCAGATATCGAAGATACAATACGTAAAATTAGGATCTCACGTTTTCACATTTATGACACAGTGAATGCTGTACGACGCGCCCAATTTGCTTTCTTATACTGATACGTAGTGCATGTAATATTAAATATATTCACGCCTATGGGTCTCGTACTTATTGCAGTCTAGAATATTCCACCACGAGCGCGTCTTTGAATCATAAATTATATCCTAGATATCAATCGATGTGAGGTGATTCTTATACTTTATTTCTATTAGATATATTTTGAGTCATTAAAACTGAAGATGTATAATGTATAGAACATCCGTTTAAGTGTTGATTATACATCACAGTTCTTATCGTATAATCTGTATCTACGATGAGGTGAAAGAATTTCCTAGTTCTTGTATTTGAATATAGCTGTGGGGTCATAATTAGTGTCTATTTATCAGTCCACATTATACACTACACTCCCTAATTTAAATCAACAATATTATCGTCCGTCTTGATTCTTGATTGTCTGTTATTTCAGAATGATTTAATCAATGCAACTTGTAATCGTTAACTTAGAATTTTATCAAGTATTCTGCTTAGTTCTTAGTCAGTATTCATCTTTACTTGCCATTATTTGCCATTATCTGCTTCGAGCTAGAAATTATCTGAACTGGAAATTATCAGAACATTTGTAATATTCAAATGTATCTCTTCAACATTTTAGAACGCAGTACTCCACCAGCCTATAACCACCCTGGTCATGGCCAGGTAGTTCACCCGTACTGTTACCAATATAAATATTGAATTGGTCTAATGAATGGCAGCACATTAATCATCGGACCTGTTTGCCCCAGTGCCCAGACTGATTTATAACCAGATTAGCTGATTAAGTTACGTCATTCGTCCCTTGATATATTTATATAAATAATATGTATATTTTATAGGATGTTTTTATTGCACTTATTTGCACTAACTAAAATTCAGTTAAAACTAGTCCTGGGATAGAATTTCCGCTCTTTATTGTACAGAATCTACATATAAGTCTCTTTATCAGTCTGTTTATAGATCAGCCACGAATTTCGCAAGCTAATCTAGGCGAAACCGGTTTGGAAAAGCCAAGTATAATTTCTGCACAATTTCTTTATGGAATATGGCTCAAAGAAGGGATCAGAGGGGGTTAAAATTGAGGTCTGAAATGGCTGAAATCTGGCTTTGTTTTGTGTGTTTTCTTCGTTCGAATTAATCAAACATCGTCTAGTGTTTACTATTTAAAATTCAGGTCTGAAATGGCTGAAATCTGGCTTTGTTTTGTGTGTTTTCTTCCTTCGAATTGATCAAACATCGTTTCTGTGTTTACTACTTTTTGTGAGGGTGACTGTAGTTTGTTCTGACACTTCCTTTTTAATTTCAAGTAAGCGATTAAGGAAATTAATGAGCCTGATTGATTGTATCGCTGACAAGTACCAAAACTTTGTGCAACTTTCAAGTCTGCTTGTAAACTTTAATCTCATTTTCAGTAACCTTAAGTCGCTTGAAACTCGTACAAACCAGGGAGTTTTTACTTTGTTTCATCATCCGAAGCCTAATTAGGTATTGAACTATGAAGTGCAGTAAAAAAGCAACAGCTTGAAAAAGTTTTACAACAAAAAATTGTATTTTGCTTGACGCATCTCAAACACAAGGAAATATTTTCAAAACCAGTTATAAATATAAATTTTTCCTTATCCTGGAAAGTTTATCTGATCATTGCATTAACGGTCATAGACTACTTCAGGTTGTTGATTTAAATCTTTATTTAAATCAGTACCTCGCAGTAGTAGAACAGATGTTGAGAGTGGGCTCCTTGTTCCTATGGGAATATCGGGCTCTCTCTGAGTAACTGATTGATATTTCATGCCCCCGGGTGAGAGCCAGTGCTCCCCATCGGGGCATGTAATATCAATTCTGCTTTCCTGCTAAATTTGGCTCGAAAGTGTGATAATATAATATCTTGATACCCTATACTATTACATTATCACATTTAACATTCTGTTGTGAGTTTACAGACAAGATAAGTCAGTGTTAAACTAAGCGATGATTTGTTCAGTCTATAATTATCATTATGATATCACGCAGTATCACGTACATAACAGTGTAGTGTATGTGGAATGTAGGGAAACTACTATCAAACTACTATAAAACTACTATAAAACTACTATAAAACTACTATAAAACTACTATAAAACTACTATAAAAATACTATAAAACTGCTATAAAACTACTATAAAACTACTATAAAACTACTATAAAACTACTATAAAAGTATTTATACACATCTAGATGAACAGCTTTATGTCATGTTTGATAAAGTGTCTTTATAGTGTATAGTGTATAATGTATAGACCATGTATTATTTGCGGGATTGGAATAGAGGCTATTGTTAAACACGCGATAGCTCAGAACGTTGTAAATATTTTAAATAACGACGTAAATATTTTAGCCGTTATTAGTGGATCATTGTTTAAACATTAGCGGAACAGGTGATCAAAATTTGACTGGCATTTGAAGTTAACAATACCAAACCTTCAGCGGATAAAGTTATCTATTAAATATATATTTATAATAATTTATAAATAAGGTAGTTCAACAACTTTGACTAGAAACTAAATTCGCTTACAGTTACATGTGCATCAAATTGTCCTTGAATTGCGTACTTAACATTTTTCATTGAATGAGTGAAATGCAAAAATAAGCTCAAGTTACATTTATTTATTGAGTTATTGGCATTAAGGCAATAAATAGTTAATAGGGCTGCACGACGGCCATCACTAAATATACGTCATTAATTGGTGACATGATCTGATCTCCGTGCGACCCCTAATAATGAGGGGGCTTGGCCGTCGGCCTCCCATAAATAGAATTTACTTTGGGTGCTCCACACTCAACAGGTGTACAACTACACTGTACTAATACTATTAATGCTACTCAAACTATGGTTAACAAATATAGGGCCAAGTTTTCACTTTTCTAGAATCTCCGTATTTTCTGGTCTGGTAATAACCATAGTTAATATCCCAATTTGGAAAGTAATTTAATTGTGGCAATTAGTCAATATTGGTTGTTAAAATCCTCTAATTATAAGCATTTCATTGCATAATTAATTTGCAATATAATATTTTTCCATTTTTAAACATTTGATAAAATCTCGATTAATTTTTCCAGTCATGGAAATTGGAATGTTGCCTAATGATTTAATAAATCAACTCAAAACGATAGGGAAATAATTCCTGATAGCAGTTCCAGAATCCAGTAATTTGAACATCGTGGCCCCATTCCCGGAACGGCCAAATTCCAGACCAGGCTAATATTAGGTCCAATTTCTGCAGATTTGAACATCACCCTGTCAATAAGTCAATCGTCATGAGTCCTGCGATATCTACTCACCAGAATTAAAATACAATTATTGATTACCCGAACCTGCACCATGACTCAATGACTGGCTATGCGTCATCACTGGCACTGTTAAGTGTTAATACGATAACTTAACTAGTCCCCCCAGCCTCAGTGTTACACCATGGTGATAAATTTAATCAACAACAAACCTTCTTCTGTGGAAGTCCACCAATCTCTCTCTCTCTCTCTCTCTCTCTCTCTCGGCCGCCAATCACCTTATCATGTGGGCAGCTGTAACAGTTTTTACACGGAGAGCCGACATCATCTCTGATATCAAACACTAATTGTATTTCCAACTGGAATTCTCATTAAAGATTGGCAATTTTAAATTTGTTTGGTTTGTTTCGGCTGGACTGCAAATCTGTTTTGGAACCTCCCGCTCGATGGTTTTCTTTTGTAAGTTTGTTTTTTGCTCAGTTTTAGTTCTTTGTGTAGTGTACAGTGCTCCTGTTAATAAGAAAGCAAACTGTAAAGATGATTACGATGGGTACCAGGTGAATCACAGTCATTTAGCCAATTAGCTGATTAGATAATTACCCGTTAGCTAATTAGATCTGACTCTGTTGATTCGATTCAACTTGGTAGAAACTTGATTTTCTCCATGACCTACGACTCTGAATTAGTGAATTATATAGTGGAAATCCTGTCTAAATTTATCCACTATAACATTAAAATTCAGGTAGTGGAACTAAAAGTAGGGCAAGACATTCACGACCCAGTGGACCAAGCTCTGAAAACACTTCAATCAGAGGGGAAAGTAAGGATCCTGAGTATGAGCGGACACAAGGGGTTTGTGTTCGGATACAAGGTTAACATCCTGATTTCTAACATCACATCCTTCAATGACTCAATCAGGACTGATTTCCCCTTCATCTATCAGTCATATTTGATTGATGTTAAGTTTGTTGCAGTAAGCAAGCTGATCAGGGAAAATGGGGGAAGACCGCCCATCGAGGAATACCGAAATGATGAAGAAGATCAAGCTAATCATAAAGCTGACATAATTGCATCAAATTTTATAAATGTTCACCTTCCAAACCTGAATCAATACATCCCTCCCACAGAACCCCCTACACCACTACCCCACTCAAAACAATCTGATGAAATGTTCGGGTTCCACTCATATCATACCATACATTCCATCTACAATCACTTGGAGGAACTCAGCAGACACCATTCTGATGTTTTAGAACTGTTTGAGTTGGACGGTGAGACGTACGAAGGTAGAAAGCTACGAGGAGTAAGGGTAACCAATGGTGTGGGAAGCTCAGCGTCACGTGATAAACCCATGGTGTATCTAGATGGTGGTATACACAGTAGAGAGTGGATCTCTCCTGCTACAGTTATGTACCTGATAGAGGGTCTGATAGGACGGAGAGAGCAGGACAAGTCAACACAGACAGATGCTCTGAGAGAAACGTTCCAGTTTGTTCTCATACCGGTGACTAATCCTGATGGGTATATTTACTCTCGGGAGGAAAGAATGTGGAGGAAGACAAGGAAACCTGCGGGGTGTCAGTATAATCTGAGGGATTGTAATGGAGAGTGTTTGTTGAAGGTTTGTTATGGAGTTGATGCAAACAGGAACTGGGATATGGACCACGCGGCTAAGGGCGGAAGTAATGAGCCTTGTGATACCTCATTTCCGGGGAGCGCACCGTTTGATCAAGATTGTGTTGTTATTATCAGGGACTTTCTGTTGAACCACAAGGAAAAGATAGTCTTGTCCATATCCTACCACAGCTATAGTCAGCTGTTTCTGTACCCCTGGGGTTACACTAAAAGCCCCTCCCCTCACCTTACTCACCACACTAAAGTAGGGGAAGCATTTGCACGTGCTGTTGCTGCGCGCCATGGCGTGCACTACAAAAACCACCCTGTAGTGAACATTTGGCATGACAGGTTCCCTGGTAGTTGGTATGAAGTGAGTGGCACTTTAATCGACTGGGTGCACCACCGCCTGGGTGTGGTGGATAGTTACGGGATTGAACTGAGGGATGAGGGCCGTCATGACTTCAGACTACCTGTTAATCAGATATTAGCTACTGGGGAGGAGAATTTTGATGGTTTGCTTGCGGTTGTTGATAACATTGCTTATTATGGTGCACCATAAATTTAAATTTAGGTATATGGGTTTGTGCTCTTTTGAGGAGGGGGAAAGAGATTTTGGGATTATTTCTAGTGACAGTTTTTGATGTTAAACTCTGTCAGTATGATTTGAGTGTTTTACAACGATACCTTAAGTTACTTTCAGTATAATATTGATCGCTTAATGACCGCTTTGCTGTTTTATCCATAAATATGTTATGTTTGACATCAGCAGCTGCATCAAGCATGTGATAAACCTTAATCTTTGGCCATATTAAAGCCAAAGAATTAATTAGATATTATGTAAACAAGTCATGTTAGCAAAGAAAATTAGATTGCAATTGATTTCACGATCAGAGTGAATGCCATTAAATTAATGTCAATTTTGTGAAATATCTTGGTGGAGTGTCAATATTTTTTTCTAAATACTTCCAAAGAAATTGTTGTCATTATGAGTCATTGAGTACGTAGATAATTGATAAATAGACTGCAAACCTTTTTAGAGAGAACGTACTGTATATAATTAATAATAATGGTATTGCTATTAGAAAAGTCACTAAAATAGTGAAAATAAATTCAAAAATCTTACAAAAAATCACGCTAATTATGTACGAAAGTTTCAACTGTTATTCCAATTACACGAAATAAAACGAAATCTGCCATTTAGAAATAAAATTGTATGTTCATCGTATCTATTCATCCATTATATTTTGGAAGTGTAACAGAATGCTCACATAGCCTCGTTATTTAACAGTACCAGCAAAGCCGCCTACAGAGCCACCAGTAAAGCCGCCTACAGACCCACCAGTGAAGCCACCTACAGACCCACCAGTGAAGCCACCTACAGACCCACCAGTGAAGCCACCTACAGACCCACCAGTGAAGCCACCTACAGAGCCACCAGTGAAGCCGCCTACAGACCCACCAGTGAAGCCACCTACAGACCCACCAGTGAAGCCACCTACAGACCCACCAGTGAAGCCACCTACAGACCCACCAGTGAAGCCACCTATTGAAGACGTGGACAACGGAGACGACCCAGAAGAACAAACTGACGACGGAGATAAAGCTAATAATGAAGGACAAGTTGAAGACCAAAGTGATATAGTAACTGAAGAAGATGAGAATAATACTAACGATCATGATGACCAAAAAGATGATGAATCCGAAAAAAGTGATGCAGATAATGAAGACAACGTGAACGACTTCGAAGATAAAGATGGCACTGAAGATCAAAATTCAAACGACACAATTGATAATGGTGAAATATCTGACCCTGAAAAAACTCCTGAAAACCTCAAACCCCCAAAAGATAACGACTCTTTCCCATGTAATGTACTAATATGTAGAATAATATGTTGAAATGTGTTGATATGCTGAATATGCTGGTTTGGTTGAGTTTGATTTCTTTATATAACTTGTGGTGTGGTTTCTGTATACTTGATACTTATGTTTATGTTTGTTTGTTAATCAACGATATGAATTATGCATTCCTGTTTGTCCAATATGCATTCCTGTTTGTCCGGTATGCATTCCTGTTAAGTAGCACATACTTCCAGTAAGAATGTTACACAGGTAGAGGATAAGAATCTTGGAGTTATGTGTGTTATCTGCAATACTGTTGTCTTTGCAACGTACAACGCGTACATTAATGAAAACTAATACTCTTAATAATATTCATGAAACGATATTTAAAATCGTGTTTCCATTTCATTTTATAGACACCTGGTTTACAAAATGATAATAATTTTATTTCAAAACAGTAAAATTTCCACGTCTCATTTTTCCTCGGTTAATATCAACATAAGATCGAATCATAACATTCCAGTGCAGCCGAAATTGAACTGAAACTAACTCACTAACTCAGCTAAAAACGCTCCTATTATTTAAACTCTTCTCGCGCGTTAAACAAGTCCATCATCTTCACAATATAATTGTATTATAATTAATAGAAGATGACAAGTCATTTGTTTTTTAACAGCACGCAAAAACGGAAGTGAAAGTGAAAGTGATATTTCTCAGCAATATGACCCATGTAATGTACCACTAATGATTAGCCTGTGAATTGTTTGATCTTATTTGATTACTGCCGATTTAAAGCCGTGTTGTCACCACCTATCATGATTAAAACGGCCAGTGATTGTGCTTCCAACGTGCGGCGTAAGTGTGCCTTTTTGCAATATGATTGAAGAAAATCGCTTTAAAGCACACATGCGCCACGCAATGGATAATGCTTCTTAAAAATAGAGAAATAGGCACGACAGTCAGAGTAGTAACAGCACTTTTTATATTGATTTTCTTTTTTATATTGATTTTCTAACCGTTTGGAGGAGTAACTTAATGTTTGAAACTATCTTGTAGCGTATAAAATGTACTACCTTATGGTTATGTCATGTTTGGAATTTTGCCAACACAGTTAGACTACTACTGTAGAATGTAGATTAGTCAAATGCTTCACGAGTTGTTAGCCGACTACTCTCAGGAGTATTACACACTTCTGTGTTGACTGTCAACTCATTATTAATTAGTCACAAGTTTGGGATTATCCACTGCCAACATGCTGCAACTAGACATATTAAATCTTATGTCTTAACTTATAACTACTGCAGTTATACCCCGATTTACCGCAGAGTTTGGGAGAATCCTCGTTAATTCGGGGTTTGCGGTGAATCGGGCGTGGTAAATCGGGGTTTTACTGAACTACTAGTACTACACTGCCAACATATTGCAACTAGACTTAATCTTTACTTACTTACTAAATACTAATTTATCGCTTGCTGAACTTTAGATATAAATTCTTGCTGCTGCTACTCTGACTGCTGTTATCATTAATTAATTGATTAATTGCATAATTGACAAGAATGAGTTACGTGATTGTTTCTCATCTGCAGAATTTAAAAAAATTATTTGCATAGTTATAATCTTGCACATTCCTTACACATACCTTAATCTATTCATAGACTAATACACATAATACAGGAGACAATTTGATTCCATTGCTTTTAAAAATTAACTTATTGATTTACTTATAATTTATTATTAGCATGATTACTGATTATCATCCTTCTTTTGATTTGCTGCTACTTTTCTGCTACTTTTCCGCTGCATGTAATGCTGACTGATCTGCATGCCAATACTTACACTCAGGGTTATGTTATCATACGGTGATGTGTAATCTTTATTAATGAAACTAAACTTTGAGTCAATGTTAGTGATCAGTTATAGATCACGCGATCGAATAATCACGTCCTTCACAGTATGGTCCCTAGTAAAGGACATTGTATGCTCAAGTTATGCTCAATAACCTTGCATTTCTCTTCCTATGTAGTAAAATCATTGTGTAACACCAAAGTGATATGTGATGTCATAAGGTTACTACTAACCATGACGTCATAATGATCGAACCCTTACAATACTTTATCACCACCATATTTGGTACTCTGTGACGATGTTCTCATTTCCTGTTCATCAGGTGAAGGAGACGCGGCAGCTTGCGAAGCAGCAGCTGATCAAGTAAAAGAGCAGAGGAAAACAGGATCTGATAAAGATAGTGTTTATAATTGGATAATTGGAGTGCTGATAATTGTGTGCTTGGTGCTGTTAATGGCACTTGCACTTCTCTGCTATAGAAAGGGGTATGTGGTTTATTTAGATTTCCAGATTTATCCCTGGATTAAATTCGAATGGTTACAGAGTTGGATTAACTTAAAGGATGGATAAAGGCATGACATTCCGGGAATTGATATTTTCGTTTCGAAGTTAAGTGCTTCCTATCGATAAGAATTAATAATGAAATATCGCAGGTACTACAAACTGTTAGCTCCCAAACCACCCCCAATATCAACGATACCAAGACGACACAACAATGTAGTTTTCACACCTGACATAGGTCAGTTAACTTGGTTCACTAGCATAAATTCGGTAAAACGGAGTCCCCTCTGTGATTTGCTTCCTAATGGTCTATAAGTCCACTGGTCTAAGCAACCCTCTTGTAATTTCAATACAGTGTTTACATTGAACGAATTAAGAGTACACTGGATCGTGTCTTTTTTGGAACGCGCGATTCAGATAATTCTTAAAACTATCGCGCAACCGCTCCGATCCCTGCTCGCGCGCGCGCGCGCGCCCTCAAGGCCTCCGATCCAATAAATGCATGGATCACATGATCGCATGATGAATCACACCAGAAATACTACATAAGAGAATTGTATCATTATTTTGGTAGATGCATGAGGGAATCTTGGTAGAATCTTACATAATGGCAAGCCTGTTTTGTAAACGTCCCAACTAATTGCTTCATAATTGGATTGAGGCGTCTACTTTATTGCCAATAAGTCTGTCAGAGAGACCATGTTTCATGACCGCCAGAATGTCAACTAATCGCTCACTGGCTTTGACATTACTTCACACTGTTCTTTCATATAGAACTGTAAGATGTAGAACGCGTGAACTAAGGTTTATCTCCAGATCGTAGCGATGCACTGCTGGCTGTGAAGGATTGACATCTTCAATCAAATCTCTAGACGAAGTATCGTGTACACAATTAGTTGCTCCAATTAGAACTACAATTAATATAACTGACTGAAAATATCATTATATATCCAGATGACGACGACGCAAGTGGTGTTTACGAAGACCCTGATAATATGCTCTACGAAGAACTGCCTGATGGGCCAGGTTACATGCAAATGGCTGAACCAAATTGTAAGCAGGAAGTGGAAAATAATCAAACTGTAGAGGAAAACCATTATGTTGAGAATGATTATTGTGACCCGAAGCCTGGTAAGCATTGCAAATGGTGGATTCTAGGCTTTTGCTAATTGCTAGATTTTATTTTTCCGAAGATTGATAAGCTCTCCTCGCTGGAGGTTTTAGAAATAAAATTCATCTTGGTTTGCATTTCAGCACCTATATCTCGATATGATAGATTACAGCACTTTTTTTAGTAGATTATCTTTACCTCAGACTCCCCTTTGCTGGATCGTGGTCACTTACGCAGAATGTCTAGCAACTATGTACCTTTAACACATTCCACTTCTAGTGAGATTATTGTTATCTGGGATTTTGTCTTGTTGTGCCGCATTATTGCCGCATTATTGCCGTATTATTGCCGCATTATAGTCGCATTTTAGTCGTATCCAAATTTGGACCCCAAGTGGTGTCAATTAGGTAATAATTATTTTAGTCTCTTGAGTATTGACACCACTTTAGGGTTGGACGGGTTCCTACTTCCTGCTAGTCGGTATAAATCTCAAAACTGACGGACATAATCAGCTTTAGAAACCAAGATTTGAGGAGATATTTTAATTGAGGGGTTAATGTTGAGCTGGGGATTGTGCCTTTTTTATGTGATTTGATAAATAGGCCGCAAGCCAGACGTGCTCGTAATCAGAGTCAACAATTTTGACGATGTTTGATTCGTTATGTTTGTTTTTTGCTGTTGTTGATCAGAAGTGATTTTTAAAATCTAAAAAATTGTGCATGTCAAGTGAATGGAGTTGATCTCCAGCTGCATCTACCTTGCTGTTTCTGTATTGATCATGGTTAACCACAGATTCCACGATTTGTATCAAAAGAAGTTGTGTAGCACAATTCATTCTAAAACTGCTGTACGAAAAGAAAGACAAAGATTAAATCAGTTTATGTAATTTATTATTTAATTATTTGGAGCACAACAGATAATTAGTCATACTTAAAGTACTAACCCCACTTTTTCACCCAGGTCCCTCAGCATCTCATCAAGAAGTTCCAGTCTACGTTGACGGGGATTCTGCAGCACGTTTAGACACTGCCGCACGTGGAGACACTGCCGCACGTGGAGACACTGCCGCACGTGGTCCATCACCGGAGGAGGGGAACTACAGTTCTAGAGTAGAAGCAGGGGGATTTGATCATGAAGAGGACGATTATCAGAATAACCCACCTCTTTATGATAACATTTAGAAACATTCAGATGTCGGCCACGTACCATGACGTCACATCGCGTGTAGTGACGTCACATCACGTGTAGTGACGTCACACCATGCCGTACCACTTGAAGTAACGTTACGCGTTGAGACGGCGAATTTGAAGCTTTTTTATAACGACTTTTTGACTAAAATATGTTATGCGACATATAATGATAGAAGTATAAGTACAGATGACTGTGGTGATACAATTCAATATTATTGTTTTATCTGGACCCAATATATTCAGATTCAGAATTAAACTTGAAAGTTTATTTGAGACAGGTGCTGTGACAATTTCGAGTAGTTTTCTTTGATAGTTTAATATGATCGCTTTATTAATACGAGCTTTCTCAGCTATTAGGTAGCAGCAATGTCGGATATAAATTTGAGCTCTGGTATTTTACGCTGAGCGTTTTTCTAGTTAATTTTTCGTTTCTGAAAGTAAAGAAATTATAAAATATGTGGCTTTTTAACTTTTTAGTTTGTTTAGTTAATTGTTCATAGGATCCATATTTTATCTATATTTTCTGAACGATTCTTAAATCAGCCTGCAATCTGCATCTAAATTTTTACAATTTCACCACTAGAACTTCTAGGAATATACATCATTCGATGTTTTCAACACATTGAATTCTTTACTTCAGTCAGCTTTTAGTTTAACTGTAAATACCGTACATACCCATCATTATAATATAATCTGCTAGATTCCATTTAAGCTGTTAGACCTACAACAATTCACATTAATTGTGTTTTGGCTTTTTACTCATAGTTGAGGTTATGAAATGTAGTTAAGTTATGATGATCTTTGTATTAAAAGTTTTGAAACTAAATAATTTTCTTAATTATGCAAATGTTTGTCGCAAAAAATACCAACAATTATTTATTTCGTTGGCATTTAGAGATTGTATTATTAATACACAGAATAAACTGCTTGTTATACCATTATCTAATTGTTTTATTTTTAAATAAAGACAGTTAAGGTAATCTTATTCTCTCATGATCAGTGTGTAACTGTCCATAATGTAAAAGTTGTTATCTCTCTCTTGTTTACGATAATATAATGCATTAAATAGGGTTGCAATAACTGGGAGGGAGATAACTATTGTTATTGCCCTGGTACTACATTTAGGCTGTGATTAACAGGTAAATAGGAGTGCGATAACTATTGTTATCACATTATAAGCAGTGATGTAACTGCTTATTAGTTATTAGCTTCGCTAGTGGCAAATCGCCACGTGACCGATAATTTCGTATTAGATTGGTCGCTGCTGGATTGATGGAAGCTGACTGGCTGTTTTAATTATTGCTGTCACGTGTCAAATTGTCAATGTATAGATTCCCTGTCCCGATCATGATACAAAAATGTCCACATAAAATTACATATTCATAATTAATGATATGTGATACAGTAACGTTACTTCTATTCTTGGCGCCCCCCCCCCCCCCCCGCTTCACTCAAAAAGCGCCCCCCTTTCTGGAAGCTAGATTTGTCCGAGGGCCATTGCCATCACAATTTATAATTTTAAAACGGACGATAAACGTGTGAAAATAAAATTTGAATTCGGAAAGTGAGAAGTCGCGAGCAAATAATTTTACATGTAAGCTTCAAAAGCCGCGCGCTTTAGTAATTAAATCGTTCGTAATATTGCGCAAGACTGTTTTAGCGTTGGATAAAATATTATCTCGTGATGCCTGTTAATGCTTTTGATTGGACTATGCAAAAGTGACGTCGCGTGATGGTAAATGGTAATAGCCCTAATTAGTGAATCATTTATCTAAAATAGTGAATACCTAAATAGTGAATGTATTATGTACAGCTGGTTCATGAATCATGATGATTTGGTTATACAATGTTAGAATTTTGTTCGCCTTTCGTTGTCGTTTGACATTAGACATTCATTCGAAACAGCCGTTCAGTAATTTGTCTGATTAGTGGTGTTTTTTGATAAACAATGACGGTGTGCAATGGCGTCTGGCGGTGTACAATTAATATTTAAAACGGAGTTGTCTTAGCAGTTTCTACTTTCGTTTTAGCTTAGTCTTTATTACGATGAACTGATTCAGTGGAGATAAGTCAATTTTGTAAGACTAATTTTAGTCGAAGTTTAGGCAACGATGCCGTTTCTTACTTGTCGCAGGTTAATATTATTCATATGTTATTGATATAAGAATGATAACCTTGTTCAAAGAATGAGGAGTGTTGGTTGGCGTCTTCTAGATGTGTGTAGAGAACATCGATAGAATAATACTGAACATTATAGGTACTGATCATGATTGATACTCTTGAACTGTTTGCTTCAGTGTTGAGAAACACTGAGAAATGATGTAGTGTTGGTTGTTAGTTAATTTCTTTCTGTATTGCAAAGGTAAGTTTGTCAGAAACATAATGTAGCTAATAGGATATAATAGAACTTTACTCGTGTGGAATACCAATACTCACTCAAGGTCTAAGAGCCTGTACAGTGTACATAGATTTATTAATGGGTTGCATGACCATCAAGGGGCCAGGGTCATAGTACATTTTATTCAGATTATTATAGTTTTTACAATTTATTTAATTTATTAATTGACCTACAAGTTGATCAAAAACCATCGCTGAATTTACATGGTGCATTATACTTCAATACATTTTAATTTCATTCTGATTCACGTCGCTTTTCAAAGGTCTGAAAATATGATAACCGCCCAAACAATTCATCGACATCAAAAGTGCCAAAACATTACATAATAATAACAATAATTAATTAATGTTATTTCTATACAGCACCAAAAGGTTTAATAATTTTAATTACATTTAAATTTAACCCTTATGCTCAGCTGTAAATGATGCCTATTTGAGAGGATTGTGCATCTTTGCCTTGGCCGGGGGTTAAACTATTAAGTAAACACAAGTTTATAGCTGCAAATTAAATCTGACTTGATAAGGTAGATGCACCTAACAAGAAAGGTTGGCAGGTTTTCTAACAAAGGACTTAAGAAATAGATCTTGACTTGACGAAATTATGTGACACTATTTCTCGTAAATCATACTTCTCGAATGAAGTTTAGGAGTAGAGGCAAGTGTTATTCGAAGGCTTTCCCAGTCAGCCCAGACTGTTTAAATTGTGTTTGATTGAATGGAGTTGGGTTAAAAACATATAAGTGATCTACGATAGTTTAACTTGTAGAAGCTTTTAATAAACATGTGTTAATCGTTGTCAGCGTTGTGTTTGATTGCTGAAGTACACTCCGATTTATGAGTATTAAAGGTTACCTACCCTTACGAGATTCAAGATATTTTTACAGTGCTCTTCATTTTACCCTCTATTACGGTTGCCCAATCACTCAGCTAAGTGTACTCTGGTGGCGACTGACCAAATTAAAATGTTAAGTCATCTAAGATCAGCAATTGAAGTGTAAGGTAACTAATTCATGCAGTTTGGGAGCAATCAAAGATGCGAACTAGTGTTTCGGTGTGTGCAAAAGCTTTCAGGTCCATACATTCCTTGCCCCGTTAGTTGCCTGTACCTCTACAATCCAATTATCAGTCATGGACAAAATGTCAGACACCAAACGGTGAATTGTTAATTCTGAGAAAGTGCTAAAAACTAAATATCTCGTTTCATTGAAAAATGTCTTGTTTCATTGAAAGATTGCAACTGTTTCCAAAAGCAGTGAATTATATTATATATATAACTTCATAAATAATATTAACTTTACAAAGGCACTGGTTGGAGATGTGACATTGAATTATTTAAATTTTTAGTCAGCAAAAAATGGAGTCATACCTTCTGATACAAAACTGAGTATCAATGGCATACTATTATCTTGGAAAGAGTACAGAATACAGATGACTCAATATCTAGGTGTGACTTTAAGTTATTACTTAAATTGGAATGTGCGTGATTCTTCACAAAGATATATATCTCACTCTATTTGAAATGTATATCGAAATTGCTGTCTGCAGAGGAGAAACTTACAGAAAACGTCAACCAGTCCATTAAAACAAACAAATGTGCAAAATTTGTATTATATAATAAGAAGTTTAGGTACTAAGAAGCGTAGGTACTAAGAAGTTTAGGTACTAAGAAGCGTAGGTATTAAAAAGCGTATGTATTATTGTGTACTTACTATTGTGCCTTTAATTGATATCATAGATATTTACTAACATCCTCAAATGATTGCAGATGCTGTGTTTTCTTATATTATTTCTACCTGAACTTGCCTTATCTCAAACCTTTGGCTCTGTTGGTAAGTTTACTGGTAACAGATATTTGAGTTCAATTTATTTGCTGAGGCACCATTTCAGTGTGGCAAAAAGCGATTGATAATGCAATCTGCAGCATTTTTATTGTTACCGCAAACTTACATTAAAAATCAGGGAAAAAAACAAAAAAGTGATTCCACAATCGCTGAAATAGTGCCTCTGAGTGATTTGACACAACTTTGTTGATTTTCTGTTACTTCTAAAAAGGGAACTATTACAAACAAATGATCACTGTCTTAATAACCGTCATTTTTTCAATAAGATTATAGCTCTTTCAAAGCAATAAAGATACAGTTATTTTATAGCTGACACATTTTTTCACTGCTTAGATACCATTTTTTATTTCAGAGTTGACATCATCAGCTACAGCGGTTTTTCAGGAACCTGTTACACCAGGTAATTATGATCAATTCAATTAATTTATTAACTTAAATTTATTAATTTAACAAATTTCTCTCCATTACAGTTTCTTATTAGTTACACTATCAGACATTTTGATTTCCAACAGTTCAACTTAGATAACCACACATGCTAACTAAACAATTTGACTCTCGACAGAACCAACAGTGACTAACTGGGGTGTGTGGGGTGAGACGTGTCAGTACAACTCCATCATGACAGCATGCCAGAAGTCACGTGAGAGGTTTTGTACTGTAGTGGTTAACTCCACCCGCTCGTGCAGTGAGACTCTCCAGGACTTCACTGACTGTCCAGATGACCAATGTGGTTAGTTTTTTACCAGGTTATTTTCCTTATCAATTGGAGCTAAATCAAAATACATAAAACATTTTATTAATTCAAAAGTATATAATTTTAAACAATATCCTTAAAATCTATAATTAATTACTTGGTCAACATTAAACATACATTATTCCACTTCACCAGATAGGTGGTCTGACTGGGAGCAGTGGTCACAATGTGCACAGCCAGTTGATGACCGTTTGTCCTGTAACAAGGAAAGGGAACGACATTGTCTGCTGTCGGGAAAATTATGTGCGGGGGAGAATATGGAGGTATCGGACTGTGGTAGGCAGCATTGTGGTGAGATTAATATTTTAATTATATTTTAAAATTTAAGTTATGAACAGGGTGTTCACGAAAAATTTGTATGGTTTTAAACATCTGTAAATTAATTTACGAAAGAGCAACCAGCTATATTTAGCTATTTATCTTATTTTCTATGTAAATCGGTAACAATTTTGTTACAACCATACCAATCGCAATCTACAGATGTTTGACCGACTAAGTTATAGTTATACCTCTTATATTCCACGGTCATTTCTTGACTTTCTCAAAGTGATGATGAAATATTCTTCCCCTATTCTTCAAATGTTGAATTAGATTTATAAGACATTGTAGTTTTCACTGTCATGAAAATCGTCGTTCAAATGTTAAACTTTTTTTTACCAACCTCCTATATATATACAGTGTATAGTGTACAGTGTATAGTGTACAGTGTATAACTGTATAATGTACAGTGTATAGTGTATATTGTACAGTGTATAGAGTATAGTGTATAGTGCACAGTGTTTAGTGTACAGTGTACAGTGTATAACCTCCCTTTCCCGCAGCTCCAAAGTTCAAATCCCACGGCAGACAAGTGAGTAGGATATCATACCGCCGCAGCTTCCTCCTTGTCTGCGATGTGGAACCATCCAGAACAGTGGGGTATCAGGGCATGGAAGTTATGTGGAAGAGAGACCCTCATTATATTTTATCAGATCTCACTAGGGCCGATCCTGATACTCTTAGATACCAAGGTAAAAGAGAAGGAGTACTATATTTTATCAGATTTCTTTATTTATTTGTGGATCTTGTCACTTTACCAGGGCCAACTTGTAGTGACGTTAAACCTTGTGATGTGTGTGCAGTATTGCTGCAAAATATTTGCAAGGTGCGCTATCAACCACATCTTAAACTAAGTAACCTGTGGAATGACATTGAAACTGAAAAGGTGAGGCAATGTTATGCAATAGTGTTTTATAGCCAGTACTATAATCTAGCGGTTTCTAAGAAACATCTCGTACATTTTTAAGTACCTGTGGGATTTAGTTTTAACTTGTAAATATATTTAAACATTAGAATTGTTCAAATTTAACAGTTGTATTATAGTAGATCAGCAAACCTGTATCGCTTTATTTAAAATAATATGTAGTTATCATTAAATGTAATCGATGACGGATTTATCATCCATTAGGATGATTTTAGGATTAAGATAAGATAAATTTGAGATAAATACTTGAATATAAACACAAGTCACAAGATAATTAATATTTACAAAACTAAAAGTGTCACTTATGCTGATGGGTTAACATACGTTCAGACGAGCTGACGGAACATGAGACGGGTATTTACACGTGTTGCGTTAGAAACGAGTTCGGGACACGTTGCCGTGACAACTGGGATGTGAAACTTAGTGATCACGGTAAGTTTCAGAGTCATTGCTGGTATGTTTCAGAGTCATAGCTGGTATGTTTCAGAGTCATAGCTGGTATGTTTCAGAGTCATAGCTGGTATATCTCTGAAGATTTTAAACAAATGGCAAGAAAAATGCTATATAATATTGGGGGGGGGGGGGGGGGGGGGGGGGCCAACCATATTAAAGTATATTAAAGTATATCCCCGGGTCAAAATCGGAAAAAATCCTACATTTTAATATACTTTAATATACCTACAATTAGAAGATTTATATTCTTCGTTAAGATTTACATGATGAACTATATTTTTCACTTAGATTCGCAAGATAAGCCTGTTTTAGGACTAGTACATGAATTTCCATCCAGATTGGTCAAAAATTGGCTGAGCTATGAGCTTAAAAAAATATGCCCATATTTGGGCATACGCTTTTGCCCAAATTCGCTTTTGCCCAAATTCGATAAAATTTCAATATTTTTTAATGAGACTCTATGTGAAAGATATAACTCAGTGTTTGTTGAATTTAGTGGATACTAAGTAAAAAGACCTCCATGAACAAAATTTGGAAAATTGCACATAATATCTCGGTTCGGAATACTAGCCAAAATGACTTCATTAAAATTGAAATAACTCCATCAGTTTTCAATATTTTTTCAAGAAATTTTTGGAATCGATTAAGAATTGCATTTCAAGCTTATTTTAAGCAACAATTTTTGATGTAGGCCTCCAAGGAGATAGGGATATATTAAAGTATATTAAAGTATATTAAAGTATATCCCCGGGTCAAAATCGGGAAAAATCCTACATTTTAATATACTTTAATATGGTTGGCCCCCCCCCCCCCCCCCCCCAATATTTAATTCGAAATATTTGAAGCACGATATTTGATTTTAGTTTTAAAATAACTTTGCAACGGAGGAATGCGGAGTTTTAAATTGCGCGGGAAGTTTGCGCGGGGGTCTTTTCGGTGTATTTTGGGTACATTTCGATTCATGACGTTGCGACTACTTTTTCTTAGTTTCAGTATACTTTATCTCTACCGTTTTCATTACAATTTTGATTGCATAATACTTTATTTACCTATCACTATACATATTTAACCTTAAATTATTATTTTTAGTGGAACTATGTAAAAGGGGATCGTTGCTAGCGTCGAAACTGTTTTAACCCTACCTTAGTCAGTTGAAAGTCTGATAGCATATGTTCTGTTTGATTTGACTAAACTAATGCCTTTCATTGCTTTATAAAAGACCCATCGCAGGATCTGGTGCTGGCCAGCCTGTGAACGCACAAAATATCTGCACTGTGCAGAAAAACTAGAAATGACCAAGGAACTAAGGCGATGTAGCGCCGAAACAAGTAAAACATTCCCAGATGGGGAGAAGCAACCATCAACTCAGTGTGCGAGACCGAGTGATAAACAAAACTTATAACAGTAACACAAAATAAATGTGCAGTTCAAAAAAAAACTGTGATGCTAGCTGTAAGCGTAAAAAGTATGGGGCTACATAGTTACGCTGTAACCGGCACTTACAGGAAACCGAAGGATCAAGTACTAAGGCCAGCGACGGTTAAGGTGTTATACCACACTTTCTTCGCCCGAAGCTTCGCTATATTGATCATATACAGCTCCTCACTTAACCCTCTCACACGATTTCTCGAGCATTCGGCTGAGTAGACGGGGGGCTGCATAGGTCCAAGGGAACCCTTTCAACGACGCTCTCCTCGGTCGACTCAGCCGAATGATAGGAAACTTGATTGAGGGTTAAATGAGGAGGGGTACCTGTTAAAAGTTCAAGAAACTTCCTAGGATATCCCTTCAGTACATACTGTAAACATATAGATGTGGATACTGGCGGGGAGGTGATAATTGTTTGTTTACATTAATAGTGAGCACATGTTAAGCAGGCTGAGGAGGTGATAATTGTTTGTTTACATTTTAGGTCGAGCACATGTTAAGCAGGCTGAGGAGGTGATACATATTTTGTATTATAGAAGGTTTGTAACACTTGTAACGCCTTCTTGTTACCCCCCTTTGAGGACCCCGAAATATTTTCTGAACGAAAGCTCAAAAATAACCGAGAAATCGACCTTCTTATTAACTCATTTTGATGACTGTTTCTGACCTAAAATTGCACGAAAAATCGATTTAGCTAGGTTTCAGAACCTATAAACACTTCCTTATCCCTCAAAATTGATGTTTTATAGTTAATACGACCAACAAGCAACATATATTTTGATCCTTCGGTTCTACTCATGACCTAGACAGTTAAGCTGAACCCGACAGATTGAGGCAATCCTCACCTTAACTGATCAAACTGGTACTAACACAATTTTCAGATATAAATGTTCTTTGCGATAAGTTTATTGCAGCTTTGCAACTTGAGTGAAGACCAGAGTACGAAAACACACAGCAGGTAAGCAACTCACTTTTGGTGACTGTTCCTCACGAACATTCTGATCCTGTAACATATGAACAGGGAGATCGTCTCCTTAACAAATCGAACAGGTACTATCACAATTTCCAGAGCACAGCATGATAACAAAGTCAAAAGAAACACAATGAAGGTAGGTTACCAACACCACAATATAACAATCATACTGACAACTGAATTAAATGTATTCTGACGACGGGCAGCCTTGATGTGCTCCGTGGTCCTCAACGAGAGACCACTTGTAATAGAGGTGTTATGTCATGTGACACCGATCCGTCCAATCACAAACAGGAAAAGTGAGCAGATCGATATCGTGTGTTTACTTTCCTTATCTTTATTTGACCCTCTGTTCACATTGTTATCTCTACCACATCTTGACTCGGCAAGGTCCGCGTGCAATATCTGCACCGCGGTAAACACGCCATGATTACGTCATGAACTTGAAATAGTGTGATTGTTGTACACTTATACAACCGTGCCCATCGCCCACGTACATTACAAACTGCTAATTGCAGGTATATTTTATTTAAACCTGCTAATTGCAGGTATATTTTATTTAAACCTGCTAACATTTCTTGTCAGAGAATTCGTGTCCTAGTTTTTATTGTCAAACACTTACCGTCCAAGTTAAGTTAGGGAGCACCCATGGGTATATTCCTTTGGTTCCAGTTGGTGTAAACTTAAAGCACAGTTCATCATTTGGAATTCCACTGAGTTGATAATCGCGACCACATATTACAGCAAACTGTACATATTACAGCAAACTGTACTTATCTCCGCAGTTCAGCCGAGACATACTATAACTAAAAAATTATGTTATTATTCTGTTCCTGACTGGACGATAAGCATCACAGTCAGTTGGAGGAGCGACCAACACACTATCAAGATCGGTTGTTTATCTTAAACCCCATCCCCCGCCCCCCCCCCCCCCCCCAACAGTTTGTAATGTACGTGGGCGATGGGCACGGTTATATAAGTGTACAACAATCACACTATTTCAAGTTCATGACGTAATCATGGCGTGTTTACCGCGGTGCAGATATTGCACGCGGACCTTGCCGAGTCAAGATGTGGTAGAGATAACAATGTGAACAGAGGGTCAAATAAAGATAAGGATAGTAAACACACGATATCGATCTGCTCACTTTTCCTGTTTGTGATTGGACGGATCGGTGTCACATGACATAACACCTCTATTACAAGTGGTCGCTCGTTGAGGACCACGGAGCACATCAAGGCTGCCCGTCGTCAGAATACATTTAATTCAGTTGTCAGTATGATTGTTATATTGTGGTGTTGGTAACCTACCTTCATTGTGTTTCTTTTGACTTTGTTATCATGCTGTGCTCTGGAAATTGTGATAGTACCTGTTCGATTTGTTCATATGTTACAGGATCAGAATGTTCGTGAGGAACAGTCACCAAAAGTGAGTTGCTTACCTGCTGTGTGTTTTCGTACTCTGGTCTTCACTCAAGTTGCAAAGCTGCAATAAACTTATCGCAAAGAACATTTATATCTGAAAATTGTGTTAGTACCAGTTTGATCAGTTAAGGTGAGGATTGCCTCAATCTGTCGGGTTCAGCTTAACTGTCTAGGTCATGAGTAGAACCGAAGGATCAAAATATATGTTGCTTGTTGGTCGTATTAACTATAAAACATCAATTTTGAGGGATAAGGAAGTGTTTATAGGTTCTGAAACCTAGCTAAATCGATTTTTCGTGCAATTTTAGGTCAGAAACAGTCATCAAAATGAGTTAATAAGAAGGTCGATTTCTCGGTTATTTTTGAGCTTTCGTTCAGAAAATATTTCGGGGTCCTCAAAGGGGGGTAACAAGAAGGCGTTACAAGTGTTACAAACCTTCTATAATACAAAATATGTATCACCTCCTCAGCCTGCTTAACATGTGCTCGACCTAAAATGTAAACAAACAATTATCACCTCCTCAGCCTGCTTAACATGTGCTCAATATTAATGTAAACAAACAATTATCACCTCCCCGCCAGTATCCACATCTATAGTACTATTACTATTAATTGTAGGACCCGTAAGAAGCAAAGACCGTGTTGTGGATGACCTGTTGAGGTTCACAGTTGAGCGAGGCAAGAACATTACTCTTCATTGCTATCTGGAGGGTTACAAACTCGAGTACAGGGTAATATTATATTTGTTAAATTATTATTTATTTAGTCAATTCTTGTTTTAATTTATTGAAAATGTACCACTTTCGCAACGGAACTTGAAATAAATATTTGTTTTGTAATTTAATGGGTCTTTTCAGTGGTTCAGAGGTGATGGTGAAGGGAGAAACATTACAATCGTAAAGGGAGAAAGATTACAATCGTAAGAAAGTTTCGTTTTTAGACTGTTTTTGATTTTATCAATCATCATCAACATATTATGTAGTTTAAAAAATGATTAAGTTAGATTTTTAATAGAAACGTTCTAACATGAACCAGATTATTTTACTACTAATTTAAAGTAAAATACTCCTGTTATAGTATTATTAGTTGTGAACTCATATTTTAGTCCATACTTGGTATTATTTGATGACATGAGACAAATTTGTCTCAATGGAGAAACTGTTTTAAGATAATCTGACTTGATATTCATCCTTTCAAGTAACTACAACTAATTAATTAATTATGAAGTTAACTAATTATGAAATAATCAATACCTCACACAATCAATACCCAGGTTGCAAATAACGAACATGTCAAAAGATAAGCAAGGAAACTACTCGTGCTGCGCGTTTGACTTTGAGTTTGGCAACTCTCTGTTTTCACAAGGATACGAGATATCTGAATCGGGTTAGTCACTTCCTGTATAGTAATAGTAGTAATATTAATAGATATTGGTATAGTAGTAGTATTGTAATATGTTGGATAAACAGTAAAACATCATATTTCTGATGAAATATTCGTATTTTTTCTACATCGTTAGTCCTATAATAAAAGTTACATAATATTGTGTTAGTATGTCAGATGAACAGGTTTGTAGTATTGGTAAGCCCTTTTATTCCTCCGGCTCATTCTACTTGTGTCACGTGTATAATAATACTATTATAAACTATTATACAAATTATACAAACTACCCTGAACTTTTAGAAAGAATTTGGTTAATTTTTGTGATGACCTTTTAAATGAGACTTGTTTGAAGCAACTGCTCCTTCATAATATTTTGTATCATTTCTCAAAAAAGTCACACTCTCTGTGGTACACCCTGTAAATAGGCAAATTATAATGTTGCCTAGTTTTGTATATATGATATCAGCCTCTATGATGTACTTCTTGTAGTGTTCGTATTCCTACTCAACGACACTATTCGGGTAGAGTTGACAATGATTTTACTGCTGACACGCATCATCAAAGAAAGCTCCTGATGTAAAAAATAGGGCGAAAAATAGGAACAAAAACTGATTTTGGAAGTTTATATGTCTAGTTCTTCGTGTATGATATCAGTGTTTCTGATGTATTCCTTGTAGCATTTAGTCATCGTTTATCCTACTCAACTACAATATTCGGTGACAATGTTTTTACTGCTGACACGCATCATCAATGAAAGCAGCCTCGATGTAAAAATGAAAAAAAAGAGGATCAAAAAGTGGAGGGTTTGGAAGGTAATATTGATATCCTATGGATGGTGTAGGGTTCGGCCTTATAGAGATAGATACTAGGTTTTACAATAATTTACTCTGAGATGTTGTTAGAAAACTCTGGTTTGATATTTGTAGTTCGTTTTTTAGGTAAGAACTATAAACTTATCAATAATCATATATGTCTAATATCAAATAAATCTGAGCACGTGACCTCTGTCGCGTGTCAGAAACAATATGGTCACGTGTGAGAAACAATATGGTCACGTGTCAGAAACAATATGGCACCTGTCTGAAACAATATGGTCACGTGTCAGAAACAATATGGTCATGTGTCAGTAACAATATGGTCACATGTCAGAACCAATATGGCACCTGCCAGAAACAATATGGTCATGTGTCAGTAACAATATGGTCACGTGTCAGAAACAATATGGTCATGTGTCAGTAACAATATGGTCACATGTCAGAACCAATATGGCACCTGCCAGAAACAATATGGTCACGTGTCAGAAACAATATGGTCACGTGTGAGAAACAATATGGTCACGTGTCAGAAACAATATGGTCACGTGTCAGAAACAATATGGTCACGTGTCAGAAACAATATGGCACCTGTCAGAACGGTGTTCTGATTTTTCAGACTCTGGATCAGATAATCCCAGTCTGTTCGCCTTAATTCCGGACTGACCAGAGAAAAGAAGATAACTTAGAAAATCTAATTCCGGACCAACCCGTCCCGCGAAAATTCTATTTTCGCTGGAATTTACCTGGTCCGTAGTAAGATGTGAAATTTGATCTAAGATTTTTCTTCTAAATTTGCAGCATGTACAACAAAAAATGACACAACAAAAAATGTTAAAATGATGGTTGAAATCGACTGAGTTTAAATTCCTGTATAAAATATATTATTATAAAAATTATGATATAATTCATCACAAATATTTAGTGTACCTATCTACAAAAATCTACAAAAATTTTTTCACTTTGTTGTCTATGGACTATGGTAACTTTGTAGTTAAATCAACGCCCAGCAATGCCAACATATACTTTCTGAAATTTGTGTTATATATTACGTAATTCGTCGGCTGATGTCATGTGATACTACCAACCAAGATCTCAACTGTGGGCTTTGCTATCGACTTTCTTAATAAATCATAACCCCCCCCCCCCCCCCACATCGCCCGTTCCTATTTACGTCAATGAAAACTCACTGCTAACTAACATCTATTCAAGTGTAATACAGATAAATCCTATTTTTGGTTTTAACGTCACTTTCTCTTTTCAGAAAACACCCAGCGAAAGTACCTGATAATAACGATAACAGTAATATCGCTACTGATAGTGATACTAGGTCTTGTTCTTTATATTACATGGTAAGTAATCACTAATTACATGGTAAGCAATCACTAATGTAACGTAATGTGTTTTTATTAGAATCCACAAACTAGTTAAGTGCTTTTTACGTTGGATAATCATGGATGATACAAATTTTTATCAAATTCCACGCCAGAATGACTGGAAGGAATGTAATGTGCATTTTATTAATAGCACTTTGCTGTGTGCTGTGTTGTAGCTCCTCATTAAGTGCTTCCTATCGATAAGAATTAATAATGAAATATCGCAGGTACTACAAACTGTTAGCTCCCAAACCACCCCCAATATCAACGATACCAAGACGACACAACAATGTAGTTTTCACACCGGACATAGGTCAGTTAACTTGGTTCACTCGCATAAATTTACTTCCTTATGGTCTATAAGGCCACTGGTCTAAGCAACCTCTTGTAATTCATCCTTCGTGCAAATGAGTTTATGTCACCCCCACTGCACTGTACTACAACAAGAGTACGTTACCAGCATCACGGACTAAGGATAGGACAAAGAAGACACTCTCTGCCGAACTCATAGAGCCTGGCAGGTTAGTCTGGCAGTGGCTCACACTCTGTTGATATCTCTTTAATGAGACTTGATTTGAGGCCTCTCAACTTCCCTAGTTGAGTGTGTCCCACAACCAAGCACATTGCCTAGAAGTCCTACATTATGTATCACATAATGAACCTGGACATAAGTGGCGTGTAGCTCTATTAACCAAAACCAAAACCAAAACCAAACCTCTTGTAATTTCAATCTGCAGTGTTTACATTGAACGAATGTGTTTACACTGAATCGTGCCTTTTTTGGAACGCGCGATTCGGATAATTCTTGAAACTATCGCGCAACCGCTCCGATCCCTGCGCGCGCGCATATCATGCATATTATATGCATATATATGCGCGTGCCATGCATGCCCTCAATCGATCAGGCCTCCGATCCAATAAATGCATGGATCACATGGTCGTATGATGAATGTGATGAATCACAGAAGAAATAATGCATAAGAGAATTGTATCATTATTTTGGGAGAGGTATGAGGGAATCTTGGTAGATTCTTACCTATATATATACTAATGGCAAGCCTGTTTTAAAGCGTCCCAACAAATTGCTTCATAATTGGATTGAGGGGTCTACTAGTTTATTGATCGTAGCGATGCACTTCTAGCTGTGAAGGATTGCCATCGTCAATCAAATCTCCAGATGAAGTATCGTGTACACAATTAGTTGCTCCAATTATAACTACAATTAATATAACTGACTGAAAATATCATTATATATCCAGATGACGACGACGCAAGTGGTGTTTACGAAGACCCTGATAATATGCTCTACGAAGAACTGCCTGATGGGCCAGGTTACATGCAAATGGCTGAACCAAATTGTAAAGGAAACTGTAGAGTTTGTTTTGTTTTAAAGACCCGAGGGCCACCCTTATATTTATAAGGGCTTTGAAACCGGTTTATTGACAATATAATATATAAATAAACTGAAATCGTAACATTCATGTCAATACTAACTGAAATAATATAATCTGTAGTTAAAATAATAATACTTTCTGTCACTTAATTAAGATATATGATGTAATAAAATGAATCTCTTTATTTCCACACTAATTCTCACATTACTGGGTTGAGAGGTCTAAACTTAATTTTTATGATGGTTTGGGACAGGTAGAACCCATTTTTAAACTAAAACATGTCCCACCTACCCCGGAACATAAAAGCACTACAGGGGTAAAGATTTTAAAGTCTGGATTTTAGCTGGATTTCGGTAATTTTGGGATGGGCGTGGCCCCTGGGAGTGGCCTGAGTGGGTTGAGAGGTCGAAACTTGATTTTTATGATGGTTTGGGACAGGTAGAACCCATTTTTAAACTAAAACATGTTCCACCTACCCCGGAACATAAAAGCACTACAGGGGTAAAGATTTTAAAGTCTGGATTTTAGCTGGATTTCGGTAATTTTGGGACGGGCGTGGCCCCTGGGAGTGGCCTGAGTGGGTTGAGAGGTCGAAACTTGATTTTTATGATGGTTTGGGACAGGTAGAACCCATTTTTAAACTAAAACATAAAAAGCACTACAGGGGTAAAGATTTTAAAGTCTGGATTTTAGCTGGATTTCAGTCATTTTGGGATGGGCGTGGCCCCTGGGAGTGGCCTGGGTGGGTTGAGAGGTCGAAACTTGATTTTTATGATGGTTTGGGACAGGTAGAACCCATTTTAAACTATTTTTAACTTTTTATAATGACGTTTTGACTAAAATATGTTATGCGACATTTAATGATAAAAGTACAGATGACTGTGGTGATACAATTCAATATCATTGTTTTCTCTGGACCCAATATATTCAGATTCAGAATTAAGCTTTTAAAATTTATTTGAGACAGGTGCTGTGATAATTTCGAGTAGTTTTCTTTGATAGTTTAATATGATCGCTTTATTAATACGAGCTTTCTCAGCTATTAGGTAGCAGCAATGTCGGATATGAATTTGAGCTCTGGTATTTTACGCTGAGCGTTTTTCTACATATTTTTTCGTTTCTGAAAGTAAAGAAAATATAAAATATGTGGCTTTTTAACTTTTTAGTTTGTTTAGTTAATTGTTCATAAGATCCATATTTTATCTATATTTTCTGAACAATTCTTAAATCAGCCTGCAATCTGCATATCAATTTTTACGATTTCACCTATAGTTCTATACTAGAACTTGTAGGAATATACATTATTCGATGTTTTCAACACATTGAATTCTTTACTTCAGTCAGCTTTTAGTTTAACTGTAAATAATAAATACCCATCATTATAATCTAAAAGTTCTGCTATATTCCATTTTAGTCAGGATTTGTTCACTGAATTTGACCATAGTCGGGGAGCATACACAATATGTAATGTGAAATATACAGTTGATTGGTTACACCTTCATACTATTATAGCTGCAACCATTCACAAAAATTGTGTTTTGACTTTCCTCTAGTTAAGTTTGTGAAATATAAGTTGCTATAATATGATGATCTCTGTATTAAAAATTTTGAAAACTAAATAATTATCTTAATTATGCAAATTTTTGTCGCAAAAAATGCCCACAATTATTTATTTCGTTGGCATTTAGAAATTATATTATTAATACACAGAATAAACTGCTTGTTATACCATTATCTAATTGTTTTATTTTTAAATGAAGACAGGTGAGGTGATCTTAATTAGCTTCGCTAGTGGCAAATCGCCACGTGACCGATAATTTGGTATTAGATTGGTCGCTGCTGGATTGATGGAAGCTGACTGGCTGTTTTAATTATTGCTGTCACGTGTCAATGTTTAGATTCCCTGTCCCGATCATGATACAAAAATGTCCACATAAATACATAATTAATGATACAGTTTATGTTTGTCAAGAACGGCAAAATCTTTCGTTGGATTATCTGCAGCCACCGGTACACATGATATACCGCTTACCGGCCCTATAAATCATCAAGTCACGTATTTAAAAGTACTACGTATTTCAAAAGAATAGCGGTTTCCGTGAAAAAGTACTTTGCCTGATTCTTCTCTTTCCCTACCCAGCTTTAGAAAAACAAACAGTTGCGGGTTCATGTTGACTTCATAAATTATCCACTGCAGTTCCAAGAGCTGTTTTGAAAAGAGAGTCTAAACGCTGTAAAAGTTCTGGAACAATTGTTTCGACATTACAAATACAACCTTCAACTAAATCTAAGTCATTCTTTGTCAAACCTTGACAGGTGTTGATTTTCACAAATACTGCATCACTTTTCAATTGATCACTTTTTTCTGAATGTGGATCAGTTTTCTTTGTGACTGGATCACTGGTATGATACACAATCGGACCGTCTTCCAATGAACCCTGATCGCTCATTGTCAAAGCTGAAATATCTTTAACAGACATCTGATCACTCTCAAGTTCGACGGCAACTGAATCACGCAATCTTTCTGATGTTGAATGCATGCAAGAACCGTGTCGAAACTTTATACAAATCGTGCCAGTCCCAACAAAATAGTGGTTGTTCCTGACAAGTTTCATTGCACTGGAAACCTCCCGACAAAGATTTTTCATCGGGGGACCTGTCTGGATATTCTTATCTGGGGTTGAAATAAAGTTATTCTTTAAACTCAGTTCGTCATCACGTAGTCTTTCAGAACTGTTTTGTAAGAGTTCTTCCTGTCGGCAAATTAAAGTTTTGGCTTGATTATCATTCTGAAACGTGTCTGATGTTGATGCTATAATTGAACAAAGTCTAGATGGTCCTACTGCAGAACTAGGGGTTCCAATACTGACACTGTCTGTTGCTTTTTCATTACTTCCCGAACTTAGATCAAAGCCAATTTGGCTGGAAACTTCATCAATACAATCGTCAGTAAGCGTAAGGTTACTGATTGACGTTCCGGAATTATTAGAGTTTCTGTCAAATATCTCGGAGTTACAGCAAGTATTCAGGCTGATAGTATCAGCTGGGGATTGGGTTAATGTCACACTAAAGGTCTGGACCTGTTTATCACAGTGATCTGAGGAACACCTGGTATTTTCAGTGTCTTGACTACTGGAAGTACTTATACTTGAAGTACTTACACTGGAAGTACTTACACTGGAAGTACTTACACAGCTCGATTTATTTTGAATGACAATCCTATGAGGCATAAGACGTTTGGGTCTCAAACTTCCGCCCTGTAGAGAACTATTTCTCACCACCTGAAATTCGCTTCCAATCATATTTTTCTCAGATGATCGGTAGATATGTGTCAAAGTACCACTACCACGTGTTTTCACTTTCCCTCTTGCGATACTGTGAAGTTTCTTGAAGGTCTTATTGGAATTTGCCAGGTTTTTAGACAGTGCAATAAGTTGATCTTCTTCCAGCTCAGATAGCATTGTTACTTTTGGTGCACTTCTCGAATGCTGTGGATACGATTGTAAACTTACAAAATAGGATGATTAGAAAATATGGATTAAAATACAAAAATTTGATTCTCAAAACACTTAATGATATAAAACAAATCGAATACAATTTATGACCACGCTACACGAACTACAAAAACATCAATGTTAGTAAAAAGTGTGATCATTTTATGTTGGTCAATCTTTCATCATGACTAAATTGGTTTGACAGCGATTCTTTGTGACATTTCTTTCGAAATTCAATTAGACGTAATATGGAAAATCAAATATTTGTACAATTTATGGCTTTTCTAAGGTTAAACTCAGGCTCTTCTTGCACAAATGTGTTTAATTGGGACAATTGGGACAATCGCTATTGGCTTCGGTTTGAATTTTGGCTGTCTGTGCACGGTTATGTTAATTCTTCGGTCACTTTCTTTCAAAAGTCTCCTAGTATTAATAATGTTTTGTGTAGTGAAATTATTTATGGCAGTCAGGAATGGAGAACAATTGTCAATTTCACTACTGGAAGATTTTATAAAAGATTATTAGCAAAACTGATTCGCGAATGAATCCATATTTTCATTCGATCTGAGGTTCTACTTTTATGATCGGTACAGTCAATGACATTGATGATGTCATTACTACCTAAATATAAACATATCACTATCATAGTCATACCACTATTAGTCAAGTAGAATCATATTACCGTGACAAGATCGCACATTAACTCAACCCCGCTTTATTGGGACTGTGGTTTGTAGATAGCCACTCTAAACTCTGTTAACTCACTATTTCGGTTATAGTATTTCTGGTATGCAGTCTGATTTTAGAACGTTAAGGTTATCCCACGCTAACAGGCCATTAACCAGAGCCCCACGACACACCACTCTTCCATACAAACCATCTAAACATCAGTTTACAGAAGCTTTCCCGATAACGCATGATCCACCAACACGGAGTGGTAACCATGAGGGAACCTTGAGGACCACGTCCATCACCAACAGCTTCTCCAAATCTTTCAGCAACTACACGAAGAGGTTCGAAAACAACACGATTCCTAAACTCCAACTAAAACCTTCAACTCCTAAATTGAAGTGCAGGCAGCAACATGTCCACACGTATGGTAAGGGATGCTATGATATGAAACCCGGGGCGCCTTCAGGGAGTCACGTGACTAATCAAGATGCACCGTCATGGACCTGGACTGATAATATGCAGTCAAAAGATCCATCTACTGTGTGCGATGCTGTAGCTCCTTCCGGATCGTTGGAGGATCACCTGAAACCAGACAAGTCCACATTTGCTGTGTGCGATGCTGTAGGTCCTTCATGGACCCAAATAGAACCAGAGAAGCCCACAATTGCTGTGTGCGATGCTGTAGCTCCATCATGGACTCAAATAGAACCAGACAAGTCCACATTTGCTGTGTGCGATGCTGTAGGTCCATCATGGACCCAAATAGAACCAGACAAGTCCACATTTGCTGTGTGCGATGCTGTAGCTCCTTCATGTACCCAAATGGAACCAGACAAGTCCACATTTGCTGTGTGCGATGCTGTAGGTCCATCATGGACCCAAATGGAACCAGACAAGTCCACATTTGCTGTGTGCGATGCTGTAGGTCCATCATGGACCCAAATAGAACCAGACAAGTCCACATTTGCTGTGTGCGATGCTGTAGGTCCTTCATGGA